CCAATTAAATTAAACTTGAACATTTTGATGGATTAACCTATTAACTCAAAACACCCCAATTGATATTCATAAAGGTTAGCGTTAATGGACAATTGGACACCTTGATTAACCCGGGTACCAAACGCCCAGAAGTAGCTTTATTTCCAAGCTCTTGTCAATTATTTGTAGCCATTTGAATGGTTTAGCTTTCGTTTGGAATCCAACCAAGTATATCTTTCACAAATTTTGAGCATTTATTCAAATGGGAAATCTAAGTTAAATGAAAAAAAATGAAACTCAGCACGTGGAAATCAGCATCTGTTCGTTCCACAAGTTGATTCTGGGCTCATGAATATCTTTGCACCTACACCAATTAAAGACGACACAATGTATTTACAAGAAGGGAGTCCCAGCTCAAGGATGTCAAAACATAGATCCATCTTATAATTACAACTTAAAAGCAAAAAAGCTTCTATCTGTTGAATGTCGATTACAGAGGGGTGACTTCATGCTATTGAACGTCGGTTACAGAGGGTTTCTCACTGGCTAGGGTAGCACTAGTGTGAGCTGAGGTTCGGGTCACCTTCTATCTGTTGAAAATAGAAAAACAGGAAGACTTTTGTATAAGAAGAAGAAGAAGAAGAAGATGTCAGAGAACATGACGCTGGAGCTCTCGCCACTGATGGACGATGGCCGGTGTGTGGGGTAGGGGTTCGGTGGAGGAAAAAAAGAGAAAATGGGAGGGTTCGAACTGAGAGGAGTTTTAATAAGTTTTTTGTCGTTTTGTGTCCGGTTCAACCACACACTCCATTTAACGGCCAAAAGGCCCGTTAACGTTAGCCTATTTTCACCCAGACGATATGGTCGTCTCTCATTGGTGGGTTCACTCGTGCAGTGCATCCATGGGTGCACAGAAAACGGACTTAGGGAAAGAGCTAAAGAAATTCAATTTTTTTAGATAAAATTATCTTTTCCTTTTGTTTTCCTTCCTTTTCTTTCACATTCAAATCGATTAAAAGAAACCAACAAAAAGTAACATTCATCGTCCCTATTGTCCAACAGTCGACTATTACAAGAATTGAGCACTCAAATTGAATATTATATTATTATTACCATGCACTTGGATCCAAACCTAAAAAAGGATAAAAGTAGGGCATTTTCGATCATAAAAAGGTCAGTCATGATATCACATGTAAACAATTTATGGTAGAACGTTAAAAGGTAATGGAGGTTTTACGCAACTGATAGAAATCAATGTTTTAAAAACCAATCCAGAGGCTGAACAGTTTGTGCCTCTAGGTCGTTGGTTCGATCGGTCGGGTCAAACAGTTCAGACCATACCATGTCAGCATATATATGTATTTAGTGTGTGTATATATATATATATATATTAGCAATAAATAGTATATAAATATGTTTTATATATGTTATATATATTATTTTATGTTTTTTAATTCAGCTTTTAGTATTTGTATTTATAAAAATATTAAAATTTGTAATTTGAGGCCAAAAAAGGGTTTTTTTTTTGCGAAAATAGCGGGACAAGGCGCCTATGGACCCTTGGGATGCATAGATCTTGAAAAGTTACCAAAAAAAAAGTCACCCCTATCTGACATCGGAGTGCAAAGTTATGGCCTCCAAAAGTTTGCATGTATTCAATACAAGGTTTTAAAAACCGACCTGGAAACGGAACTATTCCAGCTATCGGTTTCCGGGTCAGTGGTTCGACCGTCTGGGTCGAACGGTTCGAATGGTTTGCATATTAGGGCAAATATTTTATATGAGATTTGATAAAGGAAAACTGGAGAAGAGATGTTATCGGTTGAGAAAGAAAAAAAAAGAAAGAAGAGAAAGGAAAGGAATGAGAGAAGAAGGAGGGAAGGAGGGAAGAAGAAGGAAGAGGACGAGGATGGTTCGATGCTCACTGGTGACGATAATGGCGACGGCAACAGACACAGATCTAAGTTCTCGGATCTCGGATCTGAGATTCTCTATAACATCTGTGATATTCTTCTTCTTCTTCTTCTTCTTCTTCCTCAGATCTAAGACACAAACTTAGATTTAAGTTTGTGTGTTTTTCTTCTGCAACTTTATATTGCGAACCATTGTCCAGGTCAAACGAGTCAACAGTTCAACCACCCGGGTCAACGGTTTTTGGCCTAGGAATGGGTTAGGGGTGGAACGGAACCGATTGCTTGGACAGTTTCCGGGCTGAACAATCTAACCGTTTGGATTAACGACGATTCAAAAACATTAATTCAATATGAAACCCGTGACCCGATCACTGAGTTAAATGGGTCAACAGTCAAACTAGCCCGGTCAAATAGTTCTTGACCAAGTCAACAGTTTTTGGCCATTTGATGAGTCTTGACTGAACCAAACCCGAAATCCTGACTATATGACAAATTGAATAATTTGACTGACCAAGTCAACGGCAGATTGAAAGCATTGCTTAAAATAAGTTCATTTCTTACAAAAATCTTTCTAATTTTTCCATTCATCCATCTCAACATTCACATTTTTCACATTTTTGCTAAAATGTATTTTCTTGACTACCCAACAGTTCTATACAACATTTCTGTCCTTGTAACAGTGATATAAAATTTTCCCTTCAATCCAAATTGTATTCTCCCCTCACATAGGACTCATGATGTACCCCACCATTTTGACCAATCCTACTCTAATTAATTCTACGTGCAACATCATCCTCAATCTCTTTCTTGTCGTGAATAGTTGAATCAAGCTTACAAAAGATGTCACATTGAAGTATTTCCTGGTTTCTAATTACCCTAGTTTTCACTCCTATTATTATTACTATTATTAAATATACATTTCACATATTCTGTTCACTCCTACTTATTTTAAAACATCTTCACCATAAATCCAATTTTACATTTAATTCCTTTAGTTTCTTCAATTAAAACATCACATCATATTATCTATGATATTGATATACAATATATAATTCATATAATGCGTACCGTTAGCCCTGATTGGGCTTGTTTACAAAACTTGGGCCCAGGCCCGGAAAACTGTAAGCTGGGTTGGAACAGGCTTAGAATGACCACCCCCATCTTGTATACCATAAGCTTCTACGTCTTCCATGGATGGAGAGAACATTAATTTTGATTTAGGTGAGGCTCTGTCGCAACTTATGTGAGATCTACATAGGAAAAAGTCGATTGCTTTTCAGCTTCTGGACCCCTTGTCCTTAATTTCTCTCGCTAATTAACGGCCTTTTGGTTAGTCTTTTTGAGAAAATCTTCTTGTAACTCTGATAGTCAAAAGACATATTGAGCTTTTGATATAAGATCTAGACAACCCGAAAACAATTTAGCAGACGCACATCTTTCCATGTATCACTTCAAGTCCTTCCGCACGAGATTAAAACACTAAAGATATAAAAAGCTTCATTTGGAGCTTTCCAAAATCAGCCTAAAATGGGCTTTTCGTATTTTTTCAACATCCCATCTTTTGGCGGATAGATCTTCCAAGTGCCAAACGAAAATAGACTGATTTTCGACCTTTCCAGCTTATAAACAGCCGAAAGATGAAAGACGCACCAAACGGACCCTAAGGTCTTTGTGATACAAATATCGAACCGGGGAAAATGTTTTTTCTGATATCTTTGTATTGTGAAGAGCATTTAATGTTTATGTCTTCCGATAATCGATATAAACAGACTTATAGCTTGGTGCGTTCGACCAGAAGTTCAAGGTAGTAAAGTGTCGGTAATTGGAGCATTTAATGTCTTCTATACCTACTGTGCATTCTTGAACCGGAAAGAGGGTATTTATACAAAGTATATATTTGCATTTGCATTTGTGTCACAACATCACAACCAAGTTTGGAAGAAATAGAAATGAGTGCAAAACCTTGTATGTTGTATTATTATATAAAAATTTTTGGACTGTACTCCAAAAGTTTTTATATAAAAATTGTTTGCAGAGTCATAAGGTAAGTCTAAAGATGGAGATTTGAGATTTCATTCTCTTACCATGAGGATACATTTGGACAGAGGACAGGAGTTTACAGAGGGGTCATAAGGTAAGTCTAAACATGGAGATTTATACATTTGGACAGAGGTCAGGAGTTTACAGAGGAGTCATAAGGTAAGTCTAAACATGGAGATTTGAGATTTCATTCTCTGAAGATACATTTGGACAGAAGACGTCAGTTTACAGAGGCGTCATAAGGTAACTCTAAACATGGAGATTTCATTCTCTCCTACATTTGGACAGAGTGACATCCGTTGTCACAACTCACAAGGTAAGTTTGAACCTACTCTTTCCTACTGTGAAATATAACACCTGATTTCTGAAACCTTGGTCGAATTTAGTAAAGTAAAACCAACTCAGCAAGCTCTTCTGATAATCAAATTCTCTCCTACCGTCTCAAAACACCCATGTAACAAACATCATACATTTTTTGCATTTTCATCACAACCAAACGCAATGCAGCCTTACTAATCTGCAGACAGTAAGTGTATCTCAAGAACAACCTTTTATCTATTCTTTCTGATTTATCAGAGGCCAAATTTCTGCATTCCCCCACCCTCAGGAATTAGAACCGAATTCTATAAACCTGTTTGATTCTATTAGACAATCAAATTCTATAAAAACACAATGAGAACCTGGAGTCTAGATATCTTTCTATCTCCATCTCTTGATCACACTATATATTAACGGTCTTACATCTCACGAAAAACAACTTCAGAACAGGGGTATCCAATCATATATGTTTACTATTTGTTTGAAACCCCAATTCGAGCCTATATTCTTACACGATGAACACTTTCTATTTTCTCAAGTAGTCTCACCTCTTGGGGACTAAAACAAATTTATGTTGGTTCCACTTAAAACTTTCAACATCTTACATCTGTTCCCTTACATCAAGAGGATTTCTACGTACGTATGACATGAAAACTGCTTCTAATTAATCACCGGATTCAAACGCAGAAAATAACAAATTCTAGCTTAATCAACTCAATTTCTTTTGAAGGCTAATCAACTCAATTTGAGAGAGTATGAAACGATATTATTTTATTCACAGGGATCGATCCTCCATTGATCACTACACAACATACATGCTCTCTTAGCTTTATTATATTATATCAACATGCTTGAGAGCATCATCTCTAAAACCAGACCGTGTCCCTATACAAACTGCTGGCTACCATGCATCGATCAACCATTCACCACCGTTCCACCTACAAAACAATTAAACAGAGAGCATCAGGGGTGATCTGGATCGATCTCTGCAACAAATCAATTCAGACCCCCAACAAATTAATTAGTTAACAGTTATAAGAACTCACCATTGGGGTGGAGAACCTGGCCGGTGATGTAAGAAGAACAGGTCGGAGAGGCGAGGAACACATAAGCCGGTGCAATCTCATGAGGCTGACCAGCCCTACCCATGGGCACCTCCGACCCAAACTTGGAGCACTCCTCCTCCGTGAACGACGCCGGTATCAGCGGAGTCCAAACCGGGCCTGGTGCAACCCCATTCACACGGATCCCCTTCTGCACCAGCTGCAACGCCAGACCCCTGGTGAAAGCCACGATTGCTCCCTTGGTCGCTGTATAGTCCAGCAGCTTAGCGTGACCCTTGTACGCATTCACCGACGTGGTGTTGATGATGCTGCTTCCTTCCTTCATGTGTTTCAGGCAATGCCTACCATCATCCATTGATCGTCATTTCAAGTTCCAGACCGCAACGTGGCCGGCCGGATACTTAGGCAATAATTAATGGAGCGAGTTTCAGGTTCTGTAGTAGTTAGTGTTAATGGATATTTTTTCTAGCCTTTAATTAGTTACCTGGTCATAAAGAAGTAAGAGAAGATGTTGGTCCTAAACACCCTCTCGAGGCGCTGCTCATCGATCTCCTCGACGGATCCCGCCTCGTACTGCTCGGCGGCATTGTTGACCAGTATGTCGATCCTCCCGAAGGCGTTCACCACCCTGTCTACGACTCGCTTGCAGTTCTCGTCGAAGCCGAGGTCTGCGGCTATGGCGATGGGGTCCTTCACCTCTCCGGTCTTGGCCTTTGTTATCATCTGTAGGGTGTCCTGAGCGTCCTTGTCCTCTTGCCCCTTCACGTAGGTGAAGGCCACCGTCGCACCCTCCCTCGCGAAGCAGTAGCAGACCGCCCTCCCTATGCCCGAGTCTCCACCCGTCACCAGCGCCACCTTCCCCTATCAAATTCCACATTATCAGTAAGAGATCTAGAGATCTAGAGAGAGAGAGAGAGAGAGAGAATATTAATACATGGAGCTTGTTGGCGGGCTTGTATTCACAGCTTGCGGCATGGGGGGTAGGGTTCATGATGTGCTCTTTCCCTGGCTGTGTCTCTTGCCTCTGGGGTGGGAATTGCTGGCCGCCGGACGCCATTTTACCGAAGGCTTTGGTGGCTTGTTGAGATACCGGAAATGATATACCCAACGCCGGAAAATCGGTTTTTCGATTTCCGACCAACCAAACTGGCTAAAGACACTCTGGATGGATGAAGAAGAAAAGTCGCAGAAACAAAAGATTAGATTACAGTTCTCAGGCAGGGCTGACAGTTTGATTTCTTATATAATTAACAGTGTGCATGACACATCTCGATCCACATGTCGAATGCATGGTGCATGGACCTACGTGTCATTTGAGTCGCATGCGATGGATGCGTCATTGAACGAGAAAACGGAATGTTGTAGGCCTCAAGACCAGAGACCCTGCACCAGAGGTGGCTTAAAAATCAATGGCCGATCGAATCAAGGAAGCCTCTTGGACAGCACCGTTTAATCTGGTCACAGTAACCGCAGATTAGTTTCAAGTTGTTTTTGTGTATTTTAGTAAGATTTAGCCATTGTCGACTGTTGTAGCTTTGCCTGTGAATTAGTTCCCAAGTTTTTCGTATATTAATTAGTTAATTAGTTTTTAAAAAATTAGGGTCCGTTTGTTTTATAATCGGAATATCGGAATCAAAATCCATCATAATCAAAATGGTATATTTTTATGTCAATGGTAATTGAAATAAGCTGGAATTAGAATTTCCCCCAAATGGGGAATGCCGAGACTCAGTTTGGAAGGAGTATAAATATAAATATATAAAATATAAATATATACAAAATAATGTAAAATACATACTTTTGCACTCTACATATTTACATTTGTATAACTACTTCCAAACTGAGCCTACGATTCTGATTTCGCTAATAGAAATTGAAATAGTCCAATTCCAGACCCTATTGCTGGAAATCAAACTGAAAATGGTTCACCTTTACTTTGATAAAATACTCATTCAAAGATTCAATAACCCCATTTAGCTATTTTTCTGTCATAGCTTTTCTACAAACAATTAATTTAATTGGGATCATTTTAATATCAATTTAGTAACTTTATGAGATCTATATATGCATCTTAATACCTTTCTCTTCCATTTTTTTGCAAAAAAAAAAAAAAAAATTCCTTTTTGGCTTCAAACCTCATTTTTTTAACGTTTTGTATAAATAAAAATATAAATTACACATGAAATAATATTTATATATGCACACATATATTACATATAAAATATAATTATATATTATTTTATTGATATAATACATATATATAACTTGCTTGACCCGGACAATCAAACTGTTGATCCGTGCGCCAGAGACAAAAATGGTTTAATGTAACCTTTTATATAAGTATAAAACTTGTGTCAAGTTCTAAAAATTTTCACCAATTATGAGATATTATATAACCTTTATGACTGTGACTCATTTCGTTTGATTCCACAGAGAAAGGCATTCTTTTATGTTGTAGCATGTTCTAAACTGAATTAAGATGGTGGGTTCTGAAACTGAATATATCCCAACATTTTAAATCACATAAAAATCTTATATTACATAAMATAACCCACCACACCTTAAACATTCATCAAACAATAATTTAAAATATTTTAATAATAAAGTGTGTACTCCAAATCAATCTCAAAGTTTTTGGAGCACATCAAATAACCACAATACAAAATATATACAGATATACCCCAAATAAAAAATAAAAAAAAAAACTTTGAAATACATTCGAGATAACTACAACACAGATGTTTTGTGTGACGTGGTGAATTCCAAACCGCCACATATTTCAAAGTGACCATGATAGGCCCAGTGGCCTGGAAAGTACAACGCTTTTTTAGGCCCATTAATGAATACCCCTAATCTTTTGGAAAACCCTAAATTACCCTTATTTGAGTTGATTTGTACAAATTTTTACCTCTCTCTTTCTCACGATACGGCAGTTGAATCGTTGAATCTCTACTGTAATGAAGAAGTGTCGCCCACAAAACCAAAAACAAAGAAAAAAAAAGAAAAGAAAGAAAAAAATCAAATATTAGGCGAACTTAAAACCATTAGCTAAGAGGTCAGAGTTCAGCTGACCTGTTTAAATCATAAGTGAAGCAAAAGAGGATACCACCAAAGGATTCCGCTCCTATCCACTATCTTTAGTCATGAATGTATTGAAGAATTGCAAAAATAAAACAAAATGAAAAGAAAATTAACAATAGTAAATAATGTGATGCACACAACGGCAACCATCAATCTTCGAATCCCTCTCTGTTTTAAGTATAAACGCTATGTGTGGTTTGATGGAAAAGGAAAACCCATTATTAAAAGAGAATTTTCTCTCATTCAAGTATTGACAACTTTTCTTCATTTAAAAAAGTTATTTATCCATTGAGTAAGTGATACTTAGAGACTAAATTTTTCATGAATCATAAATCTGAAAAAAGAACATGTATATCTTGGTCAATAGGAACCAAAATCCCATTGACCAACTTTCTCCCTCTCAAAAATCTCAAAAGAAAAAAAAAAAACGAACAGGACCTAAGATTTAGGGTTTGATTTATTCTGTTTTTTCTTTTTTGCAAAAAAAAGCAGCTTTGTATTAATTAATTGAGTGATACATGTAGAGACTAGAGAGTTAGTTACACTTGGTTGTTGTTCCTACTTATATGTACAAACTTAATATATTCAAAAGAGGAGATCAGTCTTTGCAGATAGCTTCGATGGAGATGGTGAGACCATTGGTTCGGCTTATCTGCAGTTGCGAACTCTATTAAGGCTGTACTATCAGAAAAGACCAAAAGACCGGTAATGCCACGAAACTGTGCTGCTTGCAATCCTTCTAAGAGAGCTCTTGTTTTGGCATCATAGCTGTTGATGGTCCAGCAAGGCTTCCCTTCTGCAATGTAGAGTTGACGTTGCACATGTTGGATGACGAACCCTCGTCCTGCATGACCTGTAGTAGGATCAAATGAACCATCAACATGTAAGGTTGGCATGACCTGTGATGGTGGGAGGGTGTGGGGACTTAGCCTATGCTCAATGATGTGTGTTATGGGATACTGGGATGCCATCTGGATGACCTGACGTGGATCTGGTCGCCTATTTTTGAAAACATAATCATTCCTTACTTTCCAAATGAAATAACATATGATACTAAATCTGCTAAGATACAAATAGTGATTTTATTCTTGTGAACCATTCAGTGATAATGGTATGGGGCTGATTCTCTGATATTGTGTCTAGGTTCAGCCCGATTTGAGCTTCACACCAGACTGCTCTTGTGAAGACACATTGGAAGAAGAGGTGGAAGGTTGTCTCCTCTCTAACTTTGCAGAAGCAACATATTCGGTCTTCTCCTTCCAGCCATGATCACTTTCATTTGGTGGGCACACCATCCCAAACAAGTTTCCATAAGAAAACCTGGAATCTATATGGGATTTTGAGCTTCCAGTTATAGTGGGGACCTGAACTGGAGCTTTCAAATGTGGAGAAGTATTGATAGGCAGACTTAACCCAATATGTACCCGACCTGTTCTTCTTCCAGATCACTTTGTCTGCTTGTTGGCTTGTATCAGGGATAATTGATAAAATTTGAGAGATCATTGGTTCTTGGAAAAGGGTATTTAGTTTGGTAGTGTCCCAAGAAACTTTCATGTTCTTAACGTGTGATTCAGGTATCAAGGGGTTTAGGCTTGGAGGGTATCCATGGATCCGTGATGGCTTGGATGTCTCGGCCATCTTTGACTGCCCGTAGCAGATTTGTCCTTAACTGTGGCAGCATGGAGTGCACTTGTTTCCACCAGAATGAACTGTTCTTGATTTTGGGAGCTGCAAATAAAGATGTATGTGGAAAATATTTGGCTTTTATTTGTTTACACCAAATGCTCTTGCTGTCACTCAATAACCGCCAGATTTGCTTCCCAAACATAGCCTTCTAGTCCTCTATATTGTTTGTGCCTGCATATCTTGTCCCACGAAATAGTGTGTAGGTTCTTCCAATTGTATCTCCCCACCAATATTTTCTTGTAAATTTATCTAATTCTGCAGTTGTGGCTTTTGGGAAGATTGATTTATTGTGTTGCAGACGACTCAAATACTGGTTTGAGCAAAATTGCGTGTAATCAATTAGTTTTCTGTGCTTAACAAAAGTAATTTAGGGTCCTTGCCAATGTTTAAAATTTCGTCACATATTAGAACATACGGTATCATATCGGCCCTATACCAATATATGAAATATTAAATATTTTAAAATTTTAATATTGTTAGAGGATAATTTTAAATCCCCAAATTACCCTTTTAATTATGCTTTGCCTTACACTGTTGTCTGAGACCCGTTGCCGGTGCCTGCAAGGCTGCAACTCGCTTCAGCCCTCACTTCGCTCGGCATCAAGAGAGAGAGGAGACGTGATATCTATCGTAGCTCCAAATCTCTCAGCCATGTACGAGCTCTACTTCGCCGTCCCCATAGGCCATAGCCAGCGCCATCCTCACACCATCAATACCCGCTTAGATGCTCGGACCATCTCCGTCCTCCTCCATCACGGCGAGTCCAAGCTCGTCTTCGTTGACTTCCTATATTAAGGGTGATCCCAGCTTCAAATGGGTATGACCGGAGAACCAGTCCAGATTCTAACAGTCGAAGTGCCATGGACAGAAGGGGGCATCTTGGAAATGGTAAACCCAAGGTTGAATGGGGTTTATGACGAAGCCGAGGTTGTGATGGTGCTCAAGTTAGGGTTGATGTTCTCCAGCAGTGATCCTGCGTCACGTCTGACAATGAGACAGGTGGTAAGGTATTTGGAAGGAGAGGCGAGGTTGCCGGAAGCGGTGAGTGCGCCGGAGGCGGGGGAGTACAAATCGGGCAAGAACGAGGAGGGGTTTAATGATTTGTACATTCCTACATCTTCGTCTGAGAAGGTCAGTTCCCATTCTTTCATGGGAACAGGAGACATTGAGGCTGATCTCTCTTCTTTCTAAGTGATTTTGAGGGAGAGTGAGTGACGAGAAACCAGGTGAAAAAACTAGTTTCTTCTTTGATTTTGATTCGGGTGTTTTCTATTTGTTTTTTTTTTTGGTTGTAAATTATTAACTTAATCAACTTGCACAAGCAAAATGCATCTCGTCAATTGATTAAATTGGAAGGAACTATTGCCGATGGAGATGCATCTCTTCAATTGATAGGTATCGACCCTTTCGATCTGTAATATCTAGAGGTAGGAAAGTAGCTGATAATGATGTGTTGAATCTGACCCAACTGTTGATGACTCAATTGATTAAATTGGATGGGATTATTGTCAATGGAGATGCGAAATTGCAGAGGAGAATGCTGGTGCTCTTCTTTTTGCAGATCGTAATCTATGACAGGAATACAAAATACAAAAGGACGAAGATTTACGATTTCATAAGAATGAGAGATGCAATTTATGGCGTTTGATTTACGATTTGCAGATTTGCAGGTAGGGGTGATCATGGGCCCAGGCCCGGCCCAGCCTGGACCTGATTTTGAACCAATATTTTTCATATATAAAATATTACATATCTACAATATTTTATATTAAATGATATAACATGCATATAAACTTATTTTATACATTATATAATATAAAATATTATATATCTATATATTAAATGACATAACATGCATATAAACTTATTTTATACATTATATAATATAAAATATTACATATAATATAAATTATACATATACATAAAATATATAATCTAATGTAAAATAACAAGTATATATTATACATAAAATGTGTAAATTTAAATATATACGTGTTAGGTTTGAAGTATTAAGCACAAGCTCGATCTTAAAATTTGCAGGCCTAGTATAGGCCCGGACCCGGGCCGGGCCTGAACACAAAACTCAGGCCCAAACCTAAAATTTCCAAGCCGAACTGAAATGATCACCCCTATTTACAGGTTTGCATTTAAGATTTGCATGTTTGCTTATACATTTACGAATTACAATTTAAGACAAAAGGACAATAAGAACAAACTACAAAAATTTCATATGAGTATTTTAGCAATTTAGGGGAATCTTTATCGCAAAAAAATAAAAAATAAAAAAAAATAAAGAAATACAGCGGTCTTTCTCGCTGACACCATTGTATGGGTCTTTGTAAATTTGTAATTTATCCAAAAGATTAAAAGAAAATTAAAAAAAAAAAACACATCAATGAGCACATTTCGGCATATGGGGGTGTATGGATGTTTTGAATCTTGGTTCATGCTTGATTCCTGCTATTAATTGCAGCGTCATATGTAGATGAAGTGTTTTTCAAGAAGTCATTGCTGCTATATTTATTTATTTATTTATTTGACAATGTTATGGACACACCAACCGGCAGTGCACTGCGGTGTAGTCATGGGCAGCAGTACGCACAGCAGTAGGTACGGCCTGGCGGTGCTGCACAGCAGCACGCGCCGCCCGATAGTGCACAGCACGCAGCACGCACCGGCCGGCAGCACGCAGCACGCACCGCACGGCAGCAGCACTACACAGCAGCACGCACCACACAGCAGCAGCAGTAGGGCAGGGCCCACATGACTGCTCAGCAGGGTGGGGCCACACTTATCTTACCACATCAGCTCTGCCCGCCAACTCGCCGCCAGCTACACCATTCCTTATCCCTTATCCCTTATCTTATCTTATCCTTATCTTTATCTTATCTTATCTTATCTTAAGTAAGAGTTGTGTTACCATTAGGAGTAGGTAACTAGGAGTTTGAGTTCAAGTTGGAGTTTGAATTTAATTAGGAATTTCCTTCTGTAATCTCCTATTTAAGGAGCTACGAATTGAAATAAAGGCATTCAGTTTTCCAGTCAAGAAAAGAGTGAGGAGAGTTCGGATGGTCTCTTGGACAAATCACCCATTTAATTTCTGCAATAGGGTCTGCACGCAAGGAAAAGTAGGGCTTTCTCCCCGTGACGAGATCCTACGAGCGGGCCCATAACAGACAAATGCAGAGATAAGAGATGGGCAGTTTCATACATTGTAAAGAGAGGATCCAAGTATAAAAGAATTCCTCCACTTAGGGTGAGCATAGTTCGGTTTAAACCAAATAACCGAACCGAAATTCCGGTTTTGGTGCATTCGGTTCAGTTTGATTTCGGTTTTTAATTTCAGTTCTATTATTCGGTTTTGGTTAGAGTATTTTGCATTTCGGTTAATCGAAATAACTGATATTATAAGGATATATTAGTAATGATACTAAAACCTTTTTGTTTAGGCCCACCAAAACCATTGAAACTTGAGAGGCATTGAAGGCGTCTGACTAACTGGGTGGGATGTCCCGTCATTACTCTATCATGTTTTCTGTCGTATTTGGGGAACTCAAGTGAACTACCACCCCTAAGGGTCCTTTCCGTCAATCCATCTTAATTGATCTTTCAAGTTTCAACAGGGGATGAACTTCGGTCCCAAGAGAAAAGCCATTAGTACACCCAACATCTTCCGTTGGATTATTTGTCCTTTTATTAGGAGCAATGGAAAACCATTAATATTAGGGGTGAGCAAACGTTTCTCAACGAGCGTAGGTCTTCCTCTCCAAATCTCTGTGTCTGGCGACAGGCGACTAGCGTCAGACTGTCTTCCTACTTCTCACTTTCCTCTTTCCGAAGCAACAACCTCATACTCCAGCGACGGCTACGGCGAGTAACGAGTCGATTGTCTTCCCATTTTCCCAGTTCTTTGTTGTGCTAAGAGTCTTCCTCTCCAAGTCTGTGTTGTGCTCTGTCTGTGTTTGATCTGGCTTCTGACTATCTTCCCACTTTCCCAGTTCTCTTTTTCCCAACTCCGAAGCAAGAACCTCATAGTCTCATACTCCGATGACGGCGACGGCGAGCAACAAGTTGGTTGTCGAAGTCTCTTACTCTCAGTTATGTAATATTTATTATTGTTTTTTTTTTATCTTTTTCTTCTCTCATTTTGCAATTTTCTGTCAGTTTTTGTAATTTTCGGTTTTAATCGAAAAAACCGAATTAACCAAAAAATAAATTCAGTTTGATTTATTCGGCTTAACCTAATTTCGGTTTCGGTTTGGTTGCCACATTTCACAGTTCGGTTTCTAAAAATTCGGTTTATTCGGTTCGGTTTTAAACCGTTTGTTCACCCCTACCTCCACTCTCTTCTTACATTTCCCCGGGGTTGCAGCAGGAGGTTAATGTGTGTACTGTGGAACAAACTTGTTTGGGTGTTTGGTGTAGAAGTAGTTGTTCACTCGTGCTATTTATCTCTTTGTTTGGTGGGGTGTTCTATAATTAATTGGATAATTACGGCTGGCTCATTGGTGTATTAGMTGGTTTATTCCAATATTGACATACAATCAAATCCCGCAACTAGCAGCACTTTGGGAAAAAAGGGGTTAGGGAGAATTATCAACGGTTGTATTCACTCAGTCAAGGGAGGTTTAAGTATTTATCCCTTTATTCTTTGTTGCTATATTCAAATTCAATATTGTATTCATCTAACCCGAATCCTTTTCAACATTTCGGACCGGATAGACCCCTACTAGTTCTAACTTCTAAGTTTTAACATGCTTGTTCATGTCTTTGGAGGGGCTCTAGAAGTAATGGCAGCGGGGCAGGTTTGGGGCGAGGTACCCCCTCCCCATCCCGGCCCTGTAGTTAAAATCCTCTGTCCCATCTCCGCTGGCAGGTGGGGGCAGAGCACCCTCTTCTGTTGAGAGTTGGGACAGAGAAACCCCAAATTTTCTCCACCCCAATGCAGCCATATAAAAATGTCAAATTTCAGAGCTTATTTAAAGATACGATTATGAAAATGAGGAAATTTTAAATTGAACCATGGGATCTTAAGGTTTTAGGAATTAAAAAAAAAAAATCAAAGGTATTTTAGAAATGTATATAAATCTAGAGGTATTTTAATAATTTACAATTAAATTTAAAAAATTATATGCAAATCGCATCCCCACCCATCCCGATTGGGGGCAAAAATATTTTCCCCATCCCCATTTAGGATAAGGGAAGCCCACCCCATTCGGGGGCAGGGGAAATTTCTCTATTCTTCCGTTGCCTTTGGTTATAATGCAACTATACAAGTATGAAGCATCATGCCAAGCAGAAAAAGGCAAAACAAAATATCTAAATATAGGGGAAAAAAAAGCAGTAAATGGTGAAACCATGACAATTTCAGTATAAAGGCAAACGAGGAATTTTACCAACGTTCTTAGAAACGTACACAAAAACAGGTAGAGCAAAGGGGAGCAGGACTCCTCCAATGTTGTTCTGTTTCAGAAACACGTATCTCCCCACATTGCTGGTAAAAAAGATCTTTCAAGCAATTATAAAAGGTAACTCCTAATCGCTATATATGTCATCGTATGGGAAATGATTTCCTAAATCATGTAATTAAACCCCCCATACTTGGGACGTGATTGGTCCAAATCTCCTCATCAAAACGGTTATCTTTGTTTGTTGTCAAATCAGGACATGTGGACAAATCACCTCTCTGAACTCTGAATATGGGGATCTGGTTTCTGACTGTATATATCTCCATATGTAATACCTTCAATGAGAGGATAAAACTGCAGCTGAGTGCTCCAACTGGGTCTCCACAGCATCAACGTCCTGCAGAAGACTTGTCAATGTCAGTTATGCAAACAACCACCAAGAAGAAAAGTATATCCTTTAAACCAAACACAGCCTAATTGAAATAAGAAAAGTATATATCCTTTAACCACAAATTAAAAAGGCTTTCAAGACACTAATTGGTGGGCTCCAAAGTAAATGACTAAAATGTCATATGTAATGTAATCAATAACTCTCTGCACCATTTAGATTTGGGAAAGCCACCTCAGAATTCTTAACACCACCATACAGGTGGGATGAATCTGACCGTGGATTGATGCCAAATCTACGGGCAGGATGCAGTTTATAGGGGGGAGCTACTAGTAAACTATGGAGGACTATAATTTCAGAATTCTCAAAGGGATGCAGTATACTTCTCACTAAATTCTAGTGACCTGATAGACATTAATTCAGCCTACCACCTGCTGATATTGTACAAAACAGCAATAATTAGGTTGGGAGTGCTTAAAAATAAGTGTTTATTCAAAACAAGTACTTATTTGGACCATTAAGTGCTTATTGGTATTTGGGAAATAATCCCAACATAAGTGCTTATTTTAAAAATAAATACTTAATTTTTAGGCCCAAATTTTCAGCTTTTTTTAAGTGTTTATACGATAAGCACTTATTCAATTTTTTTCTTCCAAAACTATCCCTAATTGAATTTTTAAATATCACTTATAATATTATCCCTAGTTGAATTTAATAATACTTTTATGAAACCACTTTTAACCACTTTTATAAAAGTATTTTTATCAAAGCACTTTTACAAAAACACTTTTATAGAAGTACTTTTACAAAAGTACTTTTATGAAAACACTTTTATAAAAGCACTTTTATGAAAGTACTTAAATAAAAGCACTTTATAAAAGTACTTTTGTAGTACTTTATAAAAGTGCTTTCATAAAAGTACTTTTGTACTTCATAAAAATACTTTTGTAAAAGTACTTTTATAAAAGTGCTTTCATAAAAGTGCTTTCATAAAAGTACTTTCACAAAAGTGTTTTTATAAAAGTAATTTAATAAAAGTGCTTTCAAAGGGTATATTTTGAAAATTTGAAAAAAAATGGACAAAATAGTCACAAATGCTTATTAAGTGCTTCTTAGAGAAAAATACTACCAAACGCCCAATGTAAAATAAGTGCTTATTCTAAAATATAAGCACTTGAAAAAGTTGAGTGCCAAATGCAAACAAGTGTTTATTCGAATAAGCACTTATTTTTAACTTAAGCACTCCCAAACATAGCCTAAGACTAAAGTCTGATTGTTCTATCGCAGTAACATGGGATAGGTAAGATGGGTATGTAATGCCAAACAATAAATGGGTCCACATTTAGAAAAGTTCAGTTAACTTGGCAGGGGTATCATGATGACAATGGTCGTGAATCTCCCGTAGAAAATTAATGTAGTTTGAGAACTTACACTAAATTGGTTAGAGCCGCAGAGGCCATGTTAAATCCTAAGATTGCCCAAACATGAATCTGGGCATTGACATGGAAACAATTTAAAAAACGGGACAGACTAATACAAGTCTCTCCACTTATTGAGATCCAGGACATAGAGGTAAGTATGAGCATTCTAACATGCTGATACTGTGTATAAGTTTGGTTATAAAGCAAGAACCAACGGGTGTTCAAGCAAGGCACATAATCTCCTAGGCAGGTGTCTTTTTAATATAAGCCATGGCATTCAAGCAAGGCACCAGCCAAAGGTGTCCCATCACCAAAGGTGACATCTGCTCTGGTCCAGGTACAGTACCAAAAATTTGTGGCAGCAAAGTTTAAAGTTACTAATGCTAATAGAATGTTCCTAATATATGATTTCTTATCAGCAGTAAAAGCAAGAAATGAGATTGGGGGAGGAGGGCACAGTGCTATAAGTCAAAATTGATAAAAATATTCTGAAATGCTCAAGGAAATCATGACATACAATATGAGACCCAGTAATGACAAATTTCCAAGAACAAAAGTCTAAAAGGGAAAACTTACAGACCTGTGTGTGAGGAGGAACTTCAAAATGCCTAGGGCCAGGAGAGCTGGAGAAATTGAATGACGCATTTGAGTTTATACCATGTGCAGTTTCCCCATCATTACTAAAATGAGGCTGAATAACCAAGTCATCTTGCATCCTGTTCTGATCATAAGAGAAGCCTGAGGTCCCCTCCATACCATTGGAAACTGGCCTAGATCCTACACTTCGCTTTGAGGTTGGATCTAAGCGCTCCATCATGCGAGCAACACCTGCAATGCTTGCAGTAACTTCACGCTGAACTTCTCTGCTCAACTCCTTAACTGAGTTATTCCTTGCCAATAGTTTCTCCTTAAAACCTCTTGTACTTCTTGATATTGATTCTTTATATCTGTTGCAATGTTATAGGTGTCAATGGTGAAGTAATTAAAACAATCCATAGCCCATAGGAGAATCTATCAATTACCTGGCAGATGCAGCAGAAAATCTAGATTTAAGAGACTCTGAGAAAGAGAGCAACTCTGATGGTCGTGACCTCTGTGGACTAGCAGGAGGTGTCTGGGTAGCAATAGCCCTAGAGGACAATCAGGATAATAAAGATGTTATTCATTAAATCCCCATGGGATAGAACAATAGAATGCATGTTTTAACAACAACCAAATCCTAGAAAAGCATCCATTATGAATCCACCTGTTTGTACTGTAAGATGGGGGGCAAAATGAGATGAATTTTTTTTGTCATTACTCGTATTTTCTTTGCTTATAGGCTGCATAATCATAAGTCATCTAGGTGCAAGAGGATGTCAAAACAACAAGAAAAACAACCCATCCATATAGCGAGGACGAAAATCATTATGTACTATAAAATCGCATAAGACCCATATTAACCTTAAATGCAGCTTTTAAAACCTGAAACAAATGTACCTTGAGCCAAAGGCTGAGAGGAAAGTCAAACCCACTCCTAAATCTGCCTGGGCCTTCAAGTGGCTGTCTTAAAGGGCTTGGTGATCAGATTTCCACAAATCCATTTGAACCTAGCTCAATTCCAAGGGCTTGAAAATGCTCCCTAACAAGCCCAAGCCCAAAAGTTGTTGAGTTGGCTGGTTGGCCCAAGGCCCACAATATTGAGTCCATTCTAACAAGTCCCAGAAGTTAGTTGCCAACTCATGTAGACCTAATTATCATCATCTAAACATTGTCCCAACTACATGGAATCAGCTACATGAATCCCATTCTGCCATTCTATTATATTCAGTTCAATAAACATTGTTAAACCATTGGCCCTTAAATTATTTCTTTCTACTTCAACATATGTCCTTTTCAATGCTTTAAAAGGCATAGGAGGTATATGCTTGGAGGTGCCCTCAAAACGCCTTGAGGCTCATGCTGGAGGTGTTGACACCTCTGAGGTATATGCCTCAGATGCATGACACATACACCTCAAATGCATTATGCATGAGGCGTAGCCCCATTTGTCTTTTTAAGCTAGGGGCCTTGTTCTACTCCAACTCACTCACTTCACTCTCTCACCTCTGCTTTGACAGGACCCCCCTTTCAGCTAGCTTTATGCATCCTCATTCTTCTTAATATAAGACATCTATCATAAAAATAAAAAAAATAAAAAACAAAAAACAAGAAAAACAAGAACTCTTCCTTCCTCTCCTACTTCTTTTGTATCCACCTCCTCCTCTTGAGGAGGCTTATGCCTCTTGCATTCTAAACTATGCCTCATGCCTCCAGCTCAAGGTAGTGGAATGCCTCACACCACACTTCCCTATTTTAAAGCATTGGTCCTTTGTGGTCTGCTCTTATAGCCCCTTCAACTTGTAGCAGATCACTCCCTACAGGTGTTGTAGATGTTCTTCCTTGCATATGCCCAACCCATCTTAGTCTACTTTCCTTCATTTTACCACATACTGGAGCTGCTCCTAGGTTTCAAAAGTTCATTTCTGATCTTACCCTTTATGGTTTTCCCAGTCATCCATCTCAGTATTCACCTCTTTGCCAAACTCATTAGACCCCATGTGATAGGAAAAAGATTTGATTCTAATAAAATCTACCCAAGATTCTCTAAGCAAAATCTTTTCTATAGGACTGGATCCTTAAAATTCGTTCAATATTTGAAGGATTTATATTCTAGCAAGCATTTACTCTTTTAGTTTTACTGTTTCAGAATCAACCATCAGAATGGCTAGGTGAGACAGAAAGAAAGCAAGAGATTCAGGTCCTTCAATTAGAATCCAAGTCTTTTAGAGTTTTTTTTTTTGACAAGTTTTTATAGATAATTAAAAAATGCCCTTTAAATTTTTCCAGTGAAAACTAACAAGCAGTGTTAGTACAAACCTTCAAATTCAGAGTTTCTATATATTGCTATCTTCATCTGTTAATTGTGGATTTGCACCCATAAGAAGTGATCCGTTGCAAGTTGAGGGGGCTAAAATGGGTAGGAGTAGACCAAAAAGGACATGAGTAGTAAGAAAAGATTCAAGTGCTAATATTTTAACAATGGATATGGCATGAAACAGAACAGAATGGCAAAACAGGATTCATGTAGCTGACCCCATATAATTGGAGTAAGGTTTGGATGATGATGATGATGATGATGATGATGATGATGATGACCATGACGATCTGTTAACTGTGGATTTATAACTGTTGATATACAATAAATAATAATGTACCTTTGCTTAAAGGTAAAAGTTCTCTGAACATACCGAGGTATGGAAGGAGAATATCTGTTGTCCACACTGTTAGAGGGTGTATTTACAGAAGAGGAAAGCATCATTGGTTGTGATTGACCATTGATGGCAGAAGACATGACAACTGTTGGAGAATCAGGTTCCAAAGACCCAGAACCTGAACTTTGGCTCCCCAAGGATGCAGTTGTGTAAGCCTGATGTACATCAGATCCATTCGGAGGAGAAGCAAGAACAAGGATTTGGGAAGGATCCAACCGAGAAGATCTACGTCTCTCTCTCCTATTAAAATGATAGGGCCTTCCCATAGCAGCAGCCGCTAGATGCTGCATAATACGCTCATCAATATCCAGATCATCTGGGTGGGGTGCTACCTGAAATTTTCAATTTTCAATATGCAAAAAGATAAATAGAATATCAATTTGAAGAAATTCAGCTTCAAATCAAAGTCAAATTTTTTACATCATCAAATTGAAAGTCCTCTGAAGGAATGCGAGGATATGTTGGCATATTGGAAGATCTGTTCCTTGATCTTGCATTTCTTTCCATCTCCACTGCTGCAAGAAGCTCTTGGCTGTAGATTAAAATTGACAAGTATGAAAAGGGGACTGAGGGAGAGAGAAAGAAAATAATACTAGAATGATGTATCGATTTGAGAATTCAGATAACATGAGTTCAAATGGATCCCACTTGAAACAGTTTTAAGATTAAAAAAAAAAAAAAACACTATCATTGGAAAAACATCTTCACCTGCCAGGGTCCTTCAAGGCAAGTAACTGCCAGCAAATTGGGCATTCTTTGCTTCTTTGTGACCTGGTCAAAGATATTAATTAATGTGAGCTCTCAAATTTTCAACTAGAAACAAATAAAGTAAAGCTGGCATGATAGTACACAGCCTACCATTCAAGAATACACTGAAGATGATACTCATGTTTGCAATTGGTAACCTGGTAAAGATAGATAGCAGGTTTATCAGAAAAGGGAACTAACTTCTTAAGCTGTCACTAACACATGGAGAAAGAGAGGAGGGGAGGGGGAGATTCTTGCAGATTTGAGCATATCAATAGATTGGTATCATTTTGAAACTACTAGAATATCCCTTTTATTAGTTCACAGATGAAAATACAGCATATAAACATTCTACCAGAAATAATGGAATCATCATTAAAAGTGCTCCAACATAATCATCAATCATCAAACAACAAAAAGGAAGAAAAATGACTCCAATGAACAAAATCACAAGTAAATATAACAGAATAGTATATATGTATAAATAATATAAATAGGAGCCTGTTGGTCTCTTTTGAAAATATATGTAGATATGAAACTCTGCTGCCCATGAACTAGCAATATAATGGATGTAAATATAACAGAATAGTATCCTTTGACGGAAGCAATCATCCTCCTTGTAATCCTGTAATTCAAGTTTAACGGAGGTTGTTTTATTTGGCTTAAAAAAATGAACAATATCACGAGTAAATAATGCTTGCATTCCTTGAATGAATAGATAACGCTGTTCACCCTTACCGACAAACCAAACAATTACAAAGACCAAAATCAGAGATCATAGAATCACTACTCATTCACCGTAATTATGTCAGACTCCATTACATAAACAAAAAAAAAAATACCCCAAGAACGGCGAAGAAAAAGAAGATTACTTCATCGAAACCCGATAAAAACAATCAAGCTGAACCAGAAGCCATAACAGAACATAAGTCTTCCCTTCCGTGAGAGAAGAAAAAACAACTTCATCGGATTTAATTAAATAAGACAACAAGAACTGAAGAAAAATCAGCTGAAAACAACAACAAAAGGGGAGAGAGAGAGAGAGAGAAATGGAGTCTTCGAAGATCATACAGTAGCTGGATCTTCACATGAGAACGGTTCGAGGCAGATACTGCAAGCATCCTCATACGCGTCTTGATCAGCTCCAGATGATGCTGCTGTTGCCACGACCGGTTTCTCCACCGCAGAACCGAAACCCTCCTCCATCAAAAAAAGAGCTCAACTGAATCTCGAAAGAAATACAACCGAAGCAGAAAAACAGCGCAAGAGACGAGAGAAACCTGAACAAGGCGAAGAACCCTATATAGAGCAGAGACAAGGAAAAGAGGAAAAGGCAAGCCCTAGAAAGGTACAGAGAGAGAGAGAGAGTCAAAGAAAGGAATTTTATTATATTTAATAATTACTTTTTGGTGATTAAAGAGAAAGAAGAAGTAAAGACTGGAAAATCTGAACCATGTCACTAGAGTTGTGGCAGAAGAAGAGAGAAGCAGGAGTAACTGCAGACAAGGAAAAATCCGATTCAGACGGTTGACAATCTATCTCACCTCCTCACTCACAACACACCGACGGACCGACCCCTCCAAATTCGCCTAATTTTGCCATTGTGCGCTTGATAAACCCTCGTCACCCCACCCGCGCAACTTAGCCGGAGAAGGTCATACTCCCGCCTGACTGAAGACGTCAACTACAACCAATCAGTACCAACCATTGTGCTCTGGGTCCTACCAAATTGCGCTGAAATGGGATGATCACGACCATCCGAATCCGAACCATATACTTTCTTTTTTTTATGCAGGAGATGGAATATTTTTTAACGGTTGATATCATCTAATGTGACCTGACCCAACCCATAAATCCGATCCGACCCGAAAATAAGGGTTAGTATCTCGTGTCCACCTGGATTCGAGAGTGACCCGACCAAACCATAAAAAACGGATTGTTTTGGGTTGAATCGTGAACCATGGGTCAACCGCTGATCCCATTGTCAGGTTTAATTGGGGTCATATTGTTAGGTTTAATTGGGATCATTTATTTATTGTTAAAGGGTTCGATTAACGATTATGGCAGTGTTTGGTTTTTTGGCATTTATTGAAAAAATGTTGGATAAGTGCTTTATAAGTGTTGTATTTATTGTATATAAAGCAAAATGAAACAATGTTTGATTTAACCGTTTATTAAATAAATGATAAAATTTAAAACACTTTGATTTTTGTGCATGGGACATTTGGGGAAACGGTAAATTCTTATTTCCCCCAATACCCTAGTGTTTCTTGAAACTAAATATTGATGTGGCACATTTTAACGGGTAGACCTGTTCATGGGCTGGGTGCCCTGAGACGTCTCAGCCCGTAGATGGGCTTGAACATGTTTATAGGCCTGTGGGCTTAAACTCGGGCCAAAAAGCCCGGCCCGCAATAAATTCGAGTCGGGTTCGGGTTTTGTCAAAATAGCCCGGCTCGACCCGACCTAAAATTAGACTTAAAATGGGTTATGTGATTATGTCCATTTGAATAAATTTTTTTATTTAAGAATGTAAAACTGTGTTTTAAAACGTAAAATAAAAGGAAAAAAACCATCTTGTAGGCCCATTGTTCATTTAAATAGGAAAAAAAAACCATCTGAATTCTTAATTATAATTTGAATAGGGAAATTGTAATTTTTTTTTATTAGGTCGGGCTTTGGGCTCGGGCTCGGGCTTCGGGCTTTTTATCAAGGCCGGGCTTGGGCCCAAGTTATAGGCTCGTTGGTCGGGTCGGGCTCGGGCCTAGCGTATTTCCATTAATGATGAGTAAAAGCTCAGCCCGAGCCCGACCTAACCCGGCCCATGAACAAGTCTATTAATGGGTATATCTGAGGTGGAGAGTAAAAAACATTTAAAGTAAAGCCCAACCAAACAACAAAAACAAGAAACGTTTAAAGTGAAAAAGTACAAATAAACAGCCTATCCACAAAAGCCCACAAAACCAAACACATACTATGTTACGGGAAATACATCATATCGGATAAACTTATTGCAAATCAATCGGAATCATAAAAATAGGTGCCCAATAAAATGGTATTCATCAAATTCACAAAATGCTTTGATTGGTCAGATCTCTTCCCATACCATATTTTTCTGGTATCATAGATTTTTCCCTTATTAAAAGTTTACACTCTTTACTCTCTACTATTTAGTCTTTATTTTTTATTATTTATTTTTTGAATTTTGAATTTTTTAAGTTTTTTCTTTTATATTTAAAATTTTAGGCTGCATTTAAAAGCAATATAAATCAAGAACCCATGTAAAATTTATATTGATTTGGTTTTGTAGGCGTTTGAAAGGAATGTATAATTATGACCGATGTAAAACTCCGCTCCGTTCAGTTTTTCCTGTATTTGGATAGAGTCTCATCAACCATAAAGTTTTACATCGATAATCAATGTAAAAACTACATATTGTTTATCGATGTAAAATTTCAAAAGGCAACGATAATCACTTTTACGGTTCAATGTAAAACGTTATGTGTATTTTTACACCGCTTACAGTGCCATGACACGACCCAATCAACCCGATCGCCAGGTTCATGGGTCCCAGTTTGCTTTCCGACTCTTTTGAAGTTTGAAGCTCAGCAAAAGAAGTTATTCCCGTTTGCTTTCCGAAAGGAAGCTTAATAAGAAACAAGTGAAGTCTTGTCTTTTGTGTCTGTGCTTATTCGCTCTCTTCCTTCGATTCGATGGCTAATGGCTTCCTTCTCTACCAATCAGCTTCCTTCTGGATTTTCATCCGCCATTAACTTAGTAAATGGAGTTCACGGTTCAACTTACAGCTAAGATCGCGAAGAAAACGTCCGACGCTACAGGAAATCTGTGAAGGCCGCTTTCCCGAGCATATTCTGCGATTTGCGAAGGCGAGTTCTTCCTTCTGTAAATAATATCCATTTCTTGGGGGAGAAGATATTATATCGAAAAATCGCTAATTCCATGCTATCTGATATTCGACTCTTCATTTTTTGAGTAAGCATATTAGATTAAACGTCTGATATGCAGTTTGATCCACGTCTCGCTCTACAAAATTCAGTTGGGAGGGATCTAATTCATACATAGAGTCATAGACTGTCTGCTCTGCTCCATTCTCACATCAAGATTTGTTCACGGAATCACAGTCTATTCATTCCGATGCACCATGATTTTAGTCATTTGATCTGTTTCTGTTTGTTACTCATCATAGTTTTCATTTGTTGTGGAACCTCGCTCATGGATGGGAGATTAATGTTGAGCCTATTGAATTAGATGAAAAGGATGTATACAAGTCTATGATTATTGATACATACGGCTCTTTGCATCCTCTTATATATGATATATGTATATGTTTGGTTCTGTGGGCATTTATTGAGGGAGTATTTATAATATAAATGTTAGGGAAAAGGAGAATTTGAGGTTTTCCTAGGTGCTTCATCCACATAAATTAAAGTATTTCAATTTTTTAGTATTTATTTGATAAATGATGAACAAGCCAATGCCTAGATAGTGCTAATGTGACAGCATTTTTTCAATAAATGCCCACAGAAACAAAACCAAATATAGCCATAAGGGGTGTTTGGTAGAGTCTACACGGAATGTCATCTCAACCAGAAAAAGAAAAATGTATGTACATGAAAAGGGAAAACCTATGATGCCGATACCAAAAATGCTTTGACCAATCACAACCCCCCATGAATTAGGTGGAAACTCATTTGATTGGTTTCTACTTTTATAAAAGCTAGTTGATCAGTTGTAAGTTTTTCTAGTATTATGCCTTTCTTGCATCATAGTTCAATCCATCTGAAAAACATCAATTTTGATGTTTTAAGTAAAGATAACAATTTGTATTGATCAACTCAAAAAAATCTCTCACACAAATTTCTATTTATTAACCCAAAATGCAACAGCAATGCAATGCTACTATACAAAATACCTCCTAAACTTGAAAAGTATACAAAATTCACCATTGTAAAAATCTGAGGCATCGGTCATTTTTTGGGTGAATTGGAGAACGGTTAAGTTGACCAACTTAACCGTAATGGTTTTGTACTATTGTTGGCCCCACATACATGAACTTACCCGAGAGTATCAATTTCTTGAGCAACTTGAATAAGTAACTCACAACAGACGATTTGACTGCTCGAGCGTAAAAAGTGTGCTCACCTGGTAAATTTGCAACATACATGAATGCAAGGAATGCAATTACCGAAAGTTTTACCTAGGTAAATTTACAACATACATGAATGCAAGGAATACATTTACCCACAAGTTTTACCTCTGAAATACTTCTCCAAATAAGTGTGTTTATCCAAATCTATACTACTTTAACAAGTACCAATAGCCTCAAGAATATTTATGGACTTTTTTAAGACAACATTTACCCCTCTATATTTAAATTTATTGATAAAAAATGAGGGCAAATAGGGTAATCTAATATTGTTATTAAATGAGTTGAAAAGAGGTAATTTTAAGATATTCAATACATTCAATTCTCTTTCATTAAATCCAACATTTAAGGTATTAATTTGCATTCACCTTCATTGAATCATATATTTAAGGCATTTTTGTTTCTTTTTATCATTAAATTCTATAATTAAATCCATACATAATAAATTAATAATTTCAATAATGTAAAACTTAAACTTTTAAAATCTACCTGGAAAAAATAGTGTTTTCATCAAGGTAGTGATAAGAAATTAAATCATTTGGGTCAAATGGGCCAATCCATGTCGCCACAATTAAATAGTAAAATTCAAAAATATTTAAAATACAAAAAAAATATAGAAACTAAAAAAATTTGGAACATTTTTAACATCATATATTTGACATAGTAACAATAATAAGCATGATAAATAATGTTTTAAAAACTGACCCGAAGGCCAACTTGTTTTTGCCTTTGGGTCATAGGTCACCGGTTCCACCGTCAAGGTCAAATGGGTCAAACCACTTTTATTTATAAAAATATTAAAATTTGTAATTTAGGGCCAAAAAATGATTTTTTGTGAAAATAACAAAGCAAGACGCCTAAGAACCTTGGGGCATATAGATCTTGGAAAGTTACCTAAAATAAAAAAATAAAAAAAAAGATCACCCCAATCAGACATCATAGTGCAAAATTATGGCCTCCAAAAGTTTGCACATAATTAAGTGTGCAACCTGCAACTGGTGATCGAGTCGAAGGGGTCAATGGTTGAACTACCCGGGTTATACAGTTTTTGACAAAGTCAATGGTTTTTGACTGAAAGGGCGAGCCTCAATAAAACTAGACCTGAAATCAAGGCCAAGTGACAATTCGAACAATTCAATTGGCCAGGTCAATACCAAGTTGAAAACATTGATGATAAATAAAAAATATTTTTATTAATGATGAACTGGAATGTAAAAAATTTCAAATCATTTGGAAATAAAACTATTTTCCTATTCCCTCTTATTAAATCTCATATCTAAGGTATATTCTCTTATTAAATCTTATATTTAAGATACATTTTTCTCATCATTAAATTCTAATAATTAAACCCGTAATAGTAATTTTAATAGTATAAGAATAACTATTTTTAAAAATAATTTGAAAGCAAAACCATTTTCTTCCCTCCCAGTAGTGGTGGGTAAGCAATTTACCATCTGGGGTCAAATAGATTAATAAATAATGTCATAATTAAATAATTAAAATTAAAATAAGTAAAATATATAATACAAAAAAATAAAAAGAAATGGACACATTTCTAATATTATATGTTCATTATATTGAACAAAAATAAGTATGAAATGTAAAAAGTATTTTTGTTAATGATGAAATTGGAATGCCAAATTTAAAATCAACCTAGAAATGAAATAATATTATAGCCAAAGAATAAAATTTTTAAAAATAGAAAATACAAAGAATCACAGATATTGAAAAAGTAGAGAAAATTTTGGGCACATATCTAATGTTATATATTTATAAAAAAATAAAATATTGTGTACATCTATAATATTATACATTCATTATATTGAACAAAAATAAATATTATACATAAGAAATAATTTTATCAAGGATGGAAATCATACTATTTCTCTTTTTGGGTGGTGGGATAGTGGTTTGGGTCCAATGGATTAATCAATAATATGATAGTTAAATAATAAATCTTTAAAAAGTAATAAAAAATTACATGTAATCAAAATAATATATAAAAATTGGATTCGACTATGATATTGGAAAGATATGATATCTGAATTTTTTACCAACCAACTGGTATAAAAAATGTGGTAGCCAATCAGATGTTATTTATCAAAATTCATGGGTGGGTTTTGATTGGTCAAAACTCTTTCGATAGCATGTCTTTCCTGCATCATAGATTTTTATATATTAATTATGTCAAACAAAAATGAAGTGTGATAAGTAAAAAATATTTATATATGTAGATGAAGTATATACTTTAAAACTGATCCGAAAACAAAACTATTTTCTTATTTAAATGGTGAGTCAATGATCCAACTTATCAAAGAAACCCATGATGTCATAATTAAAAATAAATACATATTTAAAAAAAGATAGAACACAAAAAAATGAAAAAGTAGAATTTTGTCAAAAACATTTAGGAACATTTCTAATGTTATATATTCATCATATTAAATAAAAATAATTATTATTTTAATAATTATTTTTATTTATGATAGAAATGAAATACAAAATTTAATAATAATAATAACAACAACAACAATAATTGTTATTGTAATTTAAAATTTCTATTGCAATGCATGAACACATTGACTACAAGTATTTAAATTTATTTTTAATCATATTATTACTTTTGTTAATTTTCAATTTCTATCTTAAATATGATATATCTAAAATTCAAATAATTAATATGAAAAAAAAATTCTTACATGCAATGCACATGCTTAACTACTAGTAACTAAAAACAAATGAAACCACTATAAAAGCAAATATTGAAAACATATCTACTTTTCCATCCTGAATCAATAGACTCTCGAGGAACAGCATCAGGAATTATATTACTAAATAAATAATACATTTTTTAAATATATATATATATATATATATATATAAAGGCACTAGGATATAATTACAAGTAATGGTTTTTTTTTAATTTATGTCAGCTGCATGTGCATGTGTGGATACAAGTTTCATGCAACATGATGACTACCTGTTGCAATGTATCTCTGTATCATACCCCTTGATCTCAGTTGTATAATTATAACAAAAGACTTGGGTATTTATGCTTTACATGACACAATCATGATGATTTCAAAGTTTAAAGCACAATGGTTTCATTTAGGGATATTTTTTCTATTATTTTATAAAATTATTTAATTCTGACTGTGTTACCTAAAGACTTAGAGGCCATTGCTTTGTTAATTATGAAGCTGACAAAGTCACAAAGCATGAGAACTTGGGTTTCAGGCTCATGAGTCTGAAAGCGGATGCTTACTGAAATTAAAAGTGTTGTTTTTTTCATTTATTTTTCTATGTAGTGTATATCATCACATAGCTCTGTTGCTTCTCGATTTCCATGTTGTTGTCTGGTGGCGTGGCGCAAAGCTTTTCAAAAACCCAGATAAGAGTATCTTATCATTCTTCACTTATAGGGAAAAAAAAACTGCATACAAATTCATTACACTAACGTTTCATTTGGTTTGCAGTGAAAATTGGAATTGGAATGGTTTATTTCTACTATTTGTTTGGTTCAGATAAAAATTAAAATGAGAATTAAAATTAATTGAAATGGGATTTTATTATCAAATGGAGGAATGCCATTCGACCAAAAATGAGAATGGAATTTCATTTCTACTCAATCAGACAGGTGGGAATTGGGATTCCAAATCCAAACCCCTATTCCCGCGGACCAAATGGCCCTAAAGGTACAAAACTATCTGATTCTCTTGACACCCACAGTACCCAGATATGGGTATTGGTGTTTTGATTTTAATTTTACTTACTTGATAGCACAATAAATGACCCCAAATGTCAATATGGTTCCGAGCTGCTGATTAGTGAGTACATTAATTATTGTTGGGATTAAGCTAGTAGCCTACTTTGACAAATAATTACTGAGTATATGATCGGTCATTCAATTTTAATTTGTTTATAAATGATTAAAGCTAAACTGATTCAAACCAACATGAAAATATTAGTAAATTGATCGATTTCATCAGTTTGATGAATAATTCTAGTTGAAATAAATTATTATTATTTTTGTATTGAAAATTTTATTAAAAGTGGTATATAAAATATAAAGAATTATTAATTATTTAAAAAATTAAAAATATAAAACAATTGTATATTTTTATATTCTATTCAAAAAACTGAACAGTCTCAAATCCTAGCCTCTTTTATTCAAAAAATGTTGATGATTATTTAGAAGAATCTAGAATTTGAGACTGTTCATTTTATTGTCAATGTTTGGATGGTTGATACAGAGAATTAGATGGCATTCTTAGTGCATTTTTGACTTTTCAAATGTCACTTAACGGTTGATTAACGGATTGGTTAACGGTACGTAATAGATTCTCACATTTTGAAAGTTCGGGTACTGGTTTGTCACATTTTGAAAGTTTGGGTATTAAATTATCACATTTTAAAGTCCGGACCAAATTGTCACTCGAGCCAAAGTACAGGATACTGATCAAAAATTTTCCCTTTTTTTCTATTTAGTCTTTACTCATTATTATTTACTCTTTAAATTGTTAAATATTCAAATTTTTTATTTTATATTTGAAATTTTAAGATTAATTCCTTTGATTTTAGCATTTTTTATATAATTTTTCTTTATTTTTTTAATTTTAATTATTTTTTAAAATGACCCAAATCAATCCATGGGTCAATCCCAACCGAAAATCAATCCGAAATATCTTAACCCAATCCAAACCAAAACCCAATTGCCAGATCTACTTGAATCCTTGCATATTCTCTCATTTATCAGCCCAAAATTTATCATTTTACCAACAATGCTATGGTAAAATAAGGTGCAACGATAAAATTCTGATTTTTGAATTGCTTTAATAACTCTAATATATAATAATYTTGTATGTCTAAGGGAACTTATATTGGTCTTTCATCTTTCTTTGATTTTTTTTTTCGTAAGTATCTTTCTCTGGTTTTAAAATACATGGAGGTTTAGGAGGAATTCAAACCAGGCTAGGTACATAGTTTTATGCCACCTGCTCTCAACACTTGGGAGTTCAGAGAACAACGTAGACAAGTGCATGTTGCGAGGATAGGTGGCACAAAAGTATAGTGTGCCTAGCGTTGTTTGTTTACTTTGCTTCCCTATCAACTGCCACACCAAGTCTAATTAAACTCTCTAACAACAATAAGTCGCGCCACCTGGAACTGGAAAGTGGAAGCTGCTTCAGGATCAGGATCGAGGTAAGCATATAAAGGGGGGCAAGAGACAGAAAATGAAGGAAAATATATCGATAAAGGTACGCTGGCTCCTTTGAGTTCCAATATATTCAGCTCACCTTTCCTCTTGCTGAATCATCATTCATGATTCATCATCTTGAAACAAATTAATGGCTTCTCCTCGGTGTCATCTCCTGGTTTTGCTACTGCTTCAACTGATGCTCTTGCTCTTTCATCCTGTGAAATCCCATGGTAAGCTGTAAGCATTGTCTTCTCTTCTTCCTTGCTCTCTCTCAATATCTTGCTCAGTTTTGCAGATCATTTTCTTTTATGGAGGCTTGCCTCTTTCCTTTATTTTTACTGAGAATATATAGATGCTTTTTATTTTTTATTTTTTATTTTTTATTTTTTATTTTTTATTTTTTATTTTTTATTTTTTATTTTTTATTTTTTATTTTTTATTTTTTATTTGGGTCGTCATTTTTTGAATTTTGAGCAAATGGGTTTTTTGATTTTCTTCTCCATCCGTTCATCTGTTAAGCAAATGGGTTTTTTTGCCTCCCTTCTCCATCTGTTCATCTGTTAAGTAAATGGGTTTTTTTGGCTTCCCTTCTCCATCTGTTCATCAATTAAGCAAATGGGTTTTTTGCTATTCCCTTCTCAATCTGTTCGCCTGTTGTTTAATTGTTGCAAACTATGCCGGATTATGCGTAGAATGGATTTGGGGGATTCTTAGGAATATGCTATCTGTAATTTACATGAGCTAGAGAGTTGGCCAAGAATTTGTGTACACCAGGACCTCTTTCTTGACTGGCAGGAAAGAGCCCCGCAAAAATGCAGGATAGATGAATCCTTGTTACTTGCAACAGACATGGTCATTGATAGATAATGCTATTTTACAAATATCCTTAACAAGCCTAGATCCAGTTTCTTAAGCCCTAGAACTAATGTCATCAGGAGAAAGGTGGAAGAGAAGAGAAGAAGAAAAATGATATTTGGTGTCTTTGTAGGGTCTAAGGCTTTGCATCATCCTAGTACTTATTATCTCCATTGTGCTAGTTCTATAAACCAATGGGAACAGAAGAGAGGTAACTCTAATGCTGTCTAATCAAGTGTCTTGGTCCATCTGATTGCCACGATAAACCAGAGGTATGAACTATTGAGACAATGACCAATAGCAAATTGAATGCCATGTGTAGACATGGTGTAAAGTCTTGCAATAAGTCAGTGTTTAAAGTTAAATACTATTCTTACTCTAAAACCAATCTGCACTTAGGATTTGAATCCTGTATAAGCCATGATACTGGTGTATTACTGATCAGATTCGGATGCAAAGCCAGATACCTGGAGCAGACACACAAATTCAGCATTTGCAAAAACTAAGACACAGATGTAATGGCAAATGTCAATCTCTTTGCTTATGCACAGCATCCTCCCTTCTGATAGTCTCTGCTATTTTAAATTGTATGAATTTGCCAACCTACTATAATTTATCTTTTTTGTTGTTTTTTTATTAAATTATTATATTATATGCTCTGTTTGTTTGTTTTTTTTTTTTTATGTATGTGTCTGTAGTTGAATGAAAGGTAGTATAATGGAACACTAGTCTAGTCATGATACAACTATCCAGGTACATGGTGTATAAGTTGTTGTACAACATGTTGTATTGTGCCTAACAACAAGCTCAATGGAAGTGTCAGCTGCATCTATGAATTTAACCCTTAATTAATGTAATTTATGCTTGCGTAAGGTACACCAACTATCTATATTCCTTTTCTGTTCTTCCCCTTTTCTTTTTCCTTCTTTCCTATTTAGGAAAAACTTAATTGGTTTGCTTAAATCCACCAGACATTCATTGGGATCAAAGACTGCAAGACCATGGAGATTAAACTCATGGATTCATGGGTTACCCTTTGGAGTTGAGACTTGAGATTCTCTTTTCCCCTAACAACAAATCATTGGGTGGGAAATCTTACAATGATCATTTACAGTGTGCTTTCTATATATGCTGCATGAAAAAAGAAATTAAGCTTTTGTTTTGAGAACCAGGGGAATAGAAACACCGTCTCACCATCATGGTGTGGTGCCATCCATCTCCTTATAGGATAACAAGTAGCAACATTCTGTATGTATAGAAAGATTAGAAATATTCATTCCTGCTGCATGTTCTTTAACTCTACTGAAAATATCAATATCCACACCATTTGCTTGCAGATGAGGAGGAGACACTTCTTCGAGACATTAACAAATACAGGGCATCCTTAAATCTGTCACCATTAACAGAGAACAAAGATGCAGATTGCATTGCAGAACAAGTCGCAGACCAATTTGAGAAACAACCCTGTAGCAATACTACGGGTGCCAACTCTGCTCCAGGAGCCGAGATACAACTAGCCAACTACCCAGCCATTCTGCATCAATGCCATCTTAACACCATCAACACCAAAGATGTAGCTATCATTCCCGCCTGCGTTCCGAACCTGGTCCCAACTCTGGTACTATCCAACTTCACCGGCTCCCATTACTCACGCTATCTCAAAGACAGCAAGTATACTGAAGCTGGCATTAGTGCTGAAGATGATTGGATTGTAGTTGTTCTCACCACAAACGCACCTGTAGCCGCTGCCGGAACTGCAGTCGGAGGGAATTCTGTACCTCGAAACCCAACCAACTCGGCTTCTAAGGCCGGACCAAGTTCCCACCTGCTTTCTTTGTTCTTGGTGCTTGTTCTTGTTCTGTTTAGCTGATCAGTACACACACTCACCTCCACTCCAGGCACCACCCCATCTTTTATTTATTTGTTCATGTAGTGTTGTTGCCTTTTGGGATGTCATGTTTCTTCTGTTTTGGCTATATAGCTGGAGAAGTAGGAAATAACGGATTCCACAGAAGAATTTCACACTGTTGTAAGAAATGCAATCCTTTTTTATTTTTTTCAGGGTGATCGAGTAATTAAAAGCGCTTAACTCAGAATTCGGAATTCCATTCCAGCGAGGGTTTTATTTCTGGGACAAATTTCCACTCCACGTAATGGACCTCTCTTATATGCTAGCACTCCATGTCGGCCAGCTTGAATTGTCTGCTTAACTTTAATTTGCGACAAGACCTCTGAATTCTTACATTGCGACAAATACTCGGCCATTAAGTCAGATAACGATAACGAAAAAAAAAAAAAAAACTTAAAATGCGAGCCCCATGTATTTAAACACTGGTGTGGAATCTTTTCATCGGTTCTACCGCTACCGCTGAACAGCAAAAGCGTTCAGCTAAACATAGCTGGATGAAACTCTTAATTTAGCGGAGGAAGAAGTCGCAGGGGTGGTTGCAGAAGCAAGATCATTTTCTAATGATTCGTAGAATGAATTTCTCAGAATCCATTCTTTTCTGAAAGGAATCAGAATTCTGAGAATTGATACCAAATGGGGCTTTATTTATTTATAATATCCTTTTTAGATTTGACTAAATTAATTTTTTATTCACACATAAAATTATTAATATATGATGGCATGGGATAATATTGTTTATTCGATAAAATTAGTAATTAATTTTATTTAAAAAATTCAAAAATAATATTATTTTATTTAATAGTGATATTCTTATAGATAAAACGGTTATTGTATAATTTCATCTAAAAATAAATGAATATTGGTAAATGCACTTCCGACTAAGTGTTTTTAACGAAGTTATAAATAAATTTTTAGGGAAAATTGTATCTTTTAGTTTGGTTTGCATGGTAATTCGGTTCTCGAATTTTAAAATGCAATAATTCAGTATCTAAATTTTTAAAATGCAATAATTCAGTATTTGTCGTTAGTAATATTTGAAAAATCAAAAATGTCATTTCAATGTTATTTAATTTTATTTATCAACCATCCAAATAATGACAAAAAACTGAATAGTTCCAAATCTTAATTTCTTCTATTCAAAAAATTTGGTAATCTTAACTTCTTCTATTTAAAAATTTTGGTGATTTTATTCATTTTATTGTCAATGTTTGGATGGTTGATAAAGAGAATTAGATGGTATTTTTAGGATATTTTTAACTTTTCAAATGTTACTTAATAGCTGATTAACAGACTGGTTAACAGCATATATTAGATTGTCATATTTCAAAAATTTGGGTACTAGATTATTACATTTTGAAAGTTTGAATAGTAAATAATGGCATTTTAAAGTTTAGAGACTAAATTGTCACTCGAACCAAAATACAGTACTGATCAGGAATTTTTCCAAATTCTTATTGTTCTTTGCTTTTTATTTTTTAGTCTATTTTCTCTCTTTCTCTATCTCTTCTGGCCTTCTGGGATCATCATCCTTTGTGACCAAGACCAGTCTAATCGATCTCATCATTTTTGGTTTATTCTCTACCTGGGACTCAGTTTACACTTTTATCGGCATCAGTGCAGTTGCCCCCTTGACAATCCCATGTCAAATATTTCCTCATGCTTGGCACAAGCAAGCTTCACCGATTAATCGAATTTGCCAGGTGGCAACTCACAGACCTGTTCCTTTTCAGCCTCGATGCCCCTCGAATAGACCCAATTCGTCGTCTACTCCAACAATGTATCGGGTTCCATCCTTCGTAGACAACCTTAAAAACCGTTTATTTGTACGTTTCTTCAATTCCTATCACCTTGATTAGCTTAGCGAGTCTCCCAACCTTCATGCTCGACCTTTGCAGCAGCTCACCGGTGCCTGAGCAATCCCATGAGGGGCGGTCGGTGGATCTTCAGCATTATGTGTGTAGGTGTGTATTGTGTATTTGTCCACAACGTGGGCCGCATACGCCATTGTCGTCTTCCTAATTCGTCTTGTGGGTTGGAGCCAGATACATAGCCTATGGCTTCGAACCCATCAAACCAGAGAGAGGCCGGGAGTTGAGCTACCAGCTACCATATCTATGGGCAGAGGGAGGGAGGGAAGTAGAAAGAGAAGAAACGAGACATGAATAGGGGTTGTTCATGGTCGATTCGGTTATGTTGGTAACTTACGATCGGATAAAGTCTCAGACCATATCAACTCTGAGTATGGAAACTAAATCAGACTACATCATTTTATTACTGTTATATATAGTTTACCGTTTGATTTGGTTTCTAAAATTTAGAAAACTGAACTGAAACTGAGATTGATATTTGAAATTATTTCAAATCGGATCAGATCATTTCTAAGTTTACAGCAAATCAAACTATCAATTTCAGTTTACTCAAAATCAGTTTGGCCATATAATGAATACTTCTAGTCATAAAGGTCCAAGTAAAAAAAAATTTAGAAAAGGGAAATGAGTTGAAAAAAATAATTGAGCATTTGGCCCTTTTTCTAGGAGTGCATGTTTATCGGAGCTACTGGTTAAGGGTGAGCATGGATTACTTTGGTTCAGGTCGGTTTTAGGGTCTATTTGTTGAACTTGTTCTTTTTTTATCAGACCCCCCCCCAAAAAAAAAAGGAAAATGGAACTTATTCTTTAAAACTTTAGTTTCAATAACAATAATATATTTCAGAGCTGATATTCCTTTTATTTGATTAAATTGATTAAATCCTATAATTTGATTTGTAGATTTTGATAATATATTAATTCTAATTCAAAAGTTATTATTATAATTTAAATTTATAAATATTACCTTTTTACATTGTTTATTATATACATCTAAAGATTAAATTAAAGAAAAATGACCAAATCACTAAATTGATTGAATGGTCAAGTGAGACCATGGCCTTGTAACAATGTGTGTTTGGGTCCAGATTTTCACATCTTCAAAAGGCTACTTCCACCAAGGTCAACCAAGGCTAAGAAAAAATAGATATTATTTTGAATTTTCTTAAAAATTTCTCTTCAATTAGTTTTGTGCATAAAAATAGACAAACTACTATGGAAGCCCATACTTTAGCTCAAAGGGCAAAATCTGTTGTTGATGATAGGTACTGATGGTTTGTCCCACCTTGCCTGCTAGAGCAGTTTATTTGTAATATTTTTTCACTAAGTGCTTTTTTTAATCTTTCAACCAAAAAAAAACAAAACAAGGCTGGTTCCATCAAAGCCAACCAAGGTTGGTTCTTCGAGTCGATTCAACTAGGGTAAACCCCTAATTGAATAATAGATTAGGTAAGCTTGTTTTCGAGTAAAACCTACCCATTTATTCACCCCTATTATTGGCCAAATATAGAGGTGGACACAAACCTATCTTTCCACAAGCTATTCAAACTCACCTCGTGAAAAGCTCAATTCAACTCAGTTAAATCAAGCTTTAAGCCAAGCTCAAACCCATATGTAGGCTCATTCAGTAATTGAGCCAAGCCCAATCTGAATGAAGTTCAGCTTGTAAGGTTCAAGATCCTAATTGACAGTATATTATATATAATATTTTAATTTATATATATAATAACAAATAATTTTATGTATATAAGAAATAATTTTTTATATAATTTTTTCAATTTTTTTATGAAGATTGGCTCATTAACAAGCTCAAGCCAAGCGGCATTTAAACAAACGAGCTTTGAGTCAAACCAAATTCAAGCTCATGTCTAGGTCGAATCAAGCTTGAGCCAAAACTCAAAGCTAATGTTTTTCTATCGAACCAAGTTTGAATTGCCAAATATTTAGTTAAACCCGGTGGTTCTATGCTTTAATGTTGTGTTTGGTGTGTAGGATGGGGATGGTAAAAAAGGAATATTCCAAAATATTATATTTTTCCTTTATTTGTTTTGAGGGAAATAGGGGGATGGGATGGGGAAAATGTAGGACATAGGATCCTAAAATCAAGTAGGCAAAAAACTCTACTGAGAAAATATTTTGGGTCTTGTCAAAATAAAAAGCCTCGAGAGACTTCTTCGACCTCTACCCGTCCCAACGGTCAGATCTCCAACGATTTCTCGGGCCATTTCGTTCAAAGGTAAGACCACATCCATCTCAATGGTTGGAGACCCAGTCATTTTCAATGTCTTTGGTGAAGGTTTGGACGGAGTGAAACTCCATTCTTCTTCAGCAACCACCATTTTCCTTTTGTTTTCATTTTTTCCATGTCTACCCACTGGCGATATCTGGTCAATTTGGTGTTCATGTCATTGATGTATGCAGGATTTCTATATGCAAGCAAAACTAAGAATGACACGACTTTGTTAAATCTATAAAATTTACAAATCTGGTCATTGGATTCCTATATCTAATATTTCCATATGTAAAACTAACATTTTTACAGATATGTAAAACTAACTAAAATTTTTACATTTGTAAAACTAACATTTAGTCAAAACATTCTGTCATGAGCTAACTGTACAACTAAGCAGGATTTTTGTCAATTATATCTAACTGTAAAACTAACGTTTTTGTCAACTATATCTAACATCCTAGATCTAACAATTTTATCCCTTTTTTTTTTCAGATTGAAGCCATTAACTTTATTTTCATTCCGTTTTGGTTGTTTAATGATGTCGATAACATGTTAAACTGGGATGATCCGAAGATTTGGGGGAAGAGTTCAAATTTATCTTTGCTCGATCATACTTGTTTTGAAGCCTAAATATGTTTCTTCAGTTACTTTACTTGGTGGCAATGTACAATACCACAGTTGACAAATAGCTTGAGTTGAGTTGTGGTGCTCTGGTGGTTCGATCATGCATTTCTTAATCGATGATGGCTTTGCTCGAAAAGACGCCTCACAAAGAATAGGACGACGCATCAAGAATTCAAGGGGTCACATACACCGAGAGAGGGAACACGCCTTAGTTGAGTGGCTAATACTTGCATCTGCATAGAATAGTTGAACGTGTTTTTAAGGGAAAACTTGTGAAAACAGAATTACTCCACTAAATAAAATAACAGAACTTGAAATAAAAACTAAAAAGCATGGAAACCAAACTAATTTTATTACATTATGACAAGGATGTTGGGCAAAATAAAATAAAATTGTTCCTCGACCCTCTTTACATCAATAATCAAAATTTTGTGGCGTGTGCCAAGTTTGTAAATAGATGGGAAGACGCTGAAATCACTGGACGCACTAAGCACACTTGGAATCTGAGCCAGAACAATCTTCCTTCATGACAACATCTCAGACACGATGTCAGCTCCCATTCTTTCCAAGTCTTCTTCTGATAGAAGTGTCTTTCTGTTGCTACTCCCAGCCTTGTCATACGGTTGCGCCATCTTCTTAAGAAACTACATCCACCAAACCACACAATTACTACTTGCGCAAGTACAATCTATGGTTGCCACATGCATATAACATGAGAAACCCATACAAAAACTGAACTGGTTTTGTCCCAACCAATGAATTTAGACAGTTGGCCAGATTTTTTTAATCAGTATTTGGGAATCGGGATTTGTTCCTCACAAAGCGCACCTCACAGCACATCCCATGAATAAAAAACACACGAGTACGGGAAATATTCCCGATGTGTGACTGGAACGTGTGGTGAGGAGCGCTCCGTTTAGGAGCAGATCCAGACTTGCCCAGGATATCCTAATGGGAAATGAGATCACATCAGCGCCCCAGATGCACATCTCAGCATGCATGGGGAACACCTCCCCTACTTGTCATTGGGAGATGTTCCCAATACACGGCTGGGATGTGCTGTGGGGCGCCGATGTTAACTCGTGGGCAACTTGAAATCTCATAAATGATGAAATTGATGCATAACATGATGGTACCCTGCTGCCAGATGGAGATTTAACCAAGGAATGCAACAAAAATATAAGCAAAATGCAAATATAAATAATCCATGTTTATTGACATAGTAGAGACGTTAAAAGGCATCAAGTGAAACGGACCTCCCTTGCTATATGCAGAGCCATGTCAGTACTCAAGTTAAGGTGTGCATCACGTAAATGTGATAGTATCCATCCAGGCAGTTTAGAGCGCTTGTCGTGACGACTGTACCTGCATAAAGAAAATCAGTTCCCTCGTTAGATATTGCAATTGCAATAACCAAAAGAAAAAAGGGAAAAACAAATAAACAAACAGATGGTCTTCCCAGGATGTATGAACCTTTTCATATCAAGGGGCTTAGCCATTTAGCACTAAAAAAATTCACTGGGACAAATGGATGAGAAACATCCATTTCAAGCATGTGAGGATATCTGAATATGATTCCTACATTGTGATCTCTCACGTAAGGTGCAGGAACCAGAGCTTGAATACTTGCACATAAACACATACATTTATTAGCCTTGCATTGATGAGGGGCATAATTGTCTGGTTTGGTTGTACTGTGGTTGTTCCTTGCTCCATTGCATAAATGTACATCAGCAGCACAACGGAAAAGTAATCATACCCAGCATGCAATGTAAACAACGAGGTAAAATATGAGCATATTATGAGAATGTTTTTGTTCCGATGCTCTACAACAAGTTTCCTAATTCAATTACATAGTTCTTTATCAATAACATCAATTTATTAATCTGAGAAGAAAGTGGCAAGTACAGACCGTTAAAACAGTTTAAGTTCATGAGAGATAAAAACTCTTATCTCTCCCCACGAAACCCCAAATCCCTTACAATTGTGCCCAAAACAATGAATCTCTCTCCACCCCTTGCTTAGCTAATGAATCAGCTATGGCATTTGCACTCCTTGACCCACCATGCCCTTACTCACATGTCTCTAGTTAACCATCTGAATTTCTTCCTTTCATTATTGTACATCCAGATTTTCATTCCATCATCCTGTAGCCAGTTGATCACCGATTTTGAGTCTCCCTCCACGCTTAGTTTGTTGATGTGCAGAGTTTTCGCCCTTTGTATGCCTTCCATTACAGCCATGACTTCTGCCCTCAATGAGTCTCCTTCCCCTTCCGGCCCAGAATATAGTGCAATAATTCTGCCCCTTTTATCTCTAAATACACCTCCAATGCCGGAGGGACCTGAATTCCCTATGCTACTACCATCCAAATTTAATTTAATAAAGCCCCTGTCCAGTGGGCTCCAATGATGAATTGTGACAGCCTTAACAGTAGAAGAATCCGCCACTGCCCTCCAGTTCCTCGATATATCAGTTGCTGAAACACTAGAGAAATCTTTCAGGGGCGTCAGCCAGTACACCACTTTAAATTCGATTGCTTCAAAAACTTCTTCTTTACTTCTTGCTTTATCCAAGAAGGTTCTTGAGTTCCACTCTTCCCAAATCGTCCACAAGGTAGCAGCTCTTATACACCTCCTCATAGCTCTACCTTTCTTTTTTTGCCATGAAAAAGCAGTTGCATCGAACATGCTTCGTACACTCACAGGAGGGATCCACCTGCACCCAAACAAGGACAAGCACCATTCCCAAACCGAAGTAGTAAAAGAACAAGAGACAAATAAGTGATATAAACTCTCACCATCAGCCTTACATAAGACACAACAGTGAGGGGATAAACACAAATTGGGCTGCTTTCTTTGAAGAAGATCAAGTGTGTTAATCTTTCCATGCTTCCCAACAAAAAGCTGCAATCCTTGGCGGGACAGGTCTGCACATACCTCTTTCACAGGAAAAGAAGGCAGAGTACTAGGGGAGGGCTGTAACAAAGTTTTGAGGAAAGAAGCACAAGAAAAGGAGCCAGAGGTCGTACAGATCCAGATTCGACTATCAGGTTCAGATGGCTTAACTCAAGAAAGACTCCCTCCAACAGCTGTAATAGGTTAATTACACTCTGAATCTCTGATACCCCTTCGGAAGCCCAAATCTCAATTAACCCTATTACTTGAAGAAGATTGAACACAGAATTTGGAAATTGGCTCATTTTTAAGGCTTGAGAGGGCATACAGTGGAGGAAATTAATCCTTTAAGGGGGAAGTGCCTATCCATATATGTTCTCAAAATTTTATACCATTACCATTACACAGATTGTACCTGATGTAGGGGATGAATGTAGGTAAAATTGCATTGATAGTCTTTCCAAAGTGCCTTCCTGGTTGCCTTAGGCAGTAGACCAGCATCCCATCCATTGTCCAAGAGCCCATGAACGCTCACTATCACCTTAGCCCACAATTTGTCCCTATCCCTAGGCAATCTCCATAACCATTTCCAAAGTAATACTAAGTTCCTTTTCTGTATATTGCCTAAACTCAACCCTCCTTTTTTGCTCCTACACACAACCTCCCAACTTATCCTATGATCTTTCTTTTCCTCCCCTGGCTTCTACAAAAAATCCCTCATCATCTTCTCTAGGCTTTTGCAAACACTGACTAGAGCCTTGGAAACTGACAAATAGTAGATAGGTAAGTTGGTTAGTTTTGAGCTTATCATTGTAATCCTGCTCCCTAACGACAAATACCCGTTCTTCCAGCCAGCTAACTTTTTGGAGAACTTTTCTGAGACTGGATTCCAGAAACCAACTTCTTTTGGGTTAGCTTCAAGGGGCAAACCTAGATAGGTCAAAGGCCACAATCCAACACTACAACCTATAATCTCTGCATATTCTACCAATTCTCCTTCCCCCATATTGACCCCCACTACGCAACTTTTCTCAAAATTGACCCTAAGGTTTGACATCCTTTCAAAGAGCTGCACTGAAAGTTTCATGTTCCTTGGGCTTAGTTTGGAAGGAGTACAAATGCAAATATGTAGAGTGCAAAACCTTATATTTTGTATGTATTTGCACCATACATATTTGCATTTATACTCTTTCCAAACTAAGCCTTACCCATTCCAACTCAGTTCTTTCACAAAAAAGAATGGTGTCATCTGCAAACTGTAAATGGGTAATAGGCACGCCCTCTCTTCCTACTCTCCACCTTCTCAACAACCCTCACAGATCAGCCCTTGGAATAATTCTGCTTAGAACATCAGCTATAAGTGTGAAAAGAAAGGGGGAGAGAGGATCTCCTTGTCTTAACCCACGTTTAACTGGAAAGAAATCTGCTACTGTGCCATTGACTATGATAGAGTAGTGACAAGATCTTAAGCACCCCCAAATCCATTTGCACCATCTCTCACCAAACCCACATTGCCTTAAAACCTCGACTAAGAAAGTCCAATCAACTAAGTCATAGGCTTTTTTCAAGTCCAACTTGCAAATTAATCCTTTTTTCTTTGATCTCTTCATTTCCTCAACACATTCATTTGCAATTAAGATTTGATCAGTGATTTGCCTATCTTGGACAAAAGCCCCTTGATTGGAAGTTACTAGGGAGGGGAAGACTTCCCGGATTCTTAGAGCCAAGACCTTAGCTAGAATTTTGTACAAGCTATTCACCAAGTTGATGGGTCTAAAGTCTTTTTAGTGACTAGCTCCACTTCTTTTAGGAATCAAGGCAATAAAAGTGGAGTTTGCACCTGGATTTATTATTCCCCTTTCAAAGAACTCATTGAAAGCCCCCATTAGGTCCTCTTTTAGCACTTCCCAACAGTCTTGATAGAAAGATATCGTGAAACCATCCGGCCCCAATGCTTTGGTTCTATCTAAAGAAAAAAAACGCCTTCTTTATCTCCTCCTCCTTAAAAGGTCTTTCCAACCAAGACTTTTGGTCTCACGAAAGGCTAGGCCAATCCAAACCATCAACCCACAGATTTTCAACTAACGGCCTTCTATAAATTGATTTAAAATGTTCCACAAAGGCCCTTAGAATTGCTCCTTGTTGAGATATGACCTCACCATCTATCTCCAACTTAGAGATAAAATTCTTTCTTCTTAAACTAGCCATGGCATGAAAATACTTTGTATTCCTATCTCTTGTTTTCTTTCTTCTAATCTCCCAAACTGCTCTAAGTTCCAACCTTTAATCCTAGCCTTCAGGGCCTTTAGCTTCCTATGAAAGAACATCCCTTTCCATCTCACTCTAGGGCTCACTCCTTCCCACCAATTCTTCACTTTTTGTCCTTTGACTTTGTTTGTTAGTCTCCTCTATAAATCTAACCACATTGAAACCCCCTCCAATGCACCATGGACCCTCCCATAAGCCCCTAATAGCACTCAATTCCTCCCACATTTATAAAATCCTTGTGTAAACCCTAGATGAGTCAACCACATATTCTTGAACCTAAAATGGACAGGGCCCACACCTCTCAACTCCTTACAAAGAGTTATCGGCCAGTTAACCGACGTTACCCTAGGTAGGGCTCTAGAAGATAACCCACCCCAATGATCCTCCCAGTCCACTGAGAACAGAAATCTATCTAATCTGGAACAAATAGGGTTGCTTTGAAGATTTGACCAAGTGAATCTATGGTGGAGGTTAGGCAAATCCTTGAGCTCATAGGAATTTATAAAATGATTGAATTTTCTCATGCTTGTTGCTATCCTTTGACTTTGTTTCTTAGCCCCTCTATAAATCTAACCACATTGAAATCCCTTCCAATGCACCATGGACCCTCCCATAAGCCCCTAATAGGCAATAGCACTCAATTCTTCCCACATTTCTTTTCTTTCTTTGTACCCATTTGGACCATAAATATTCGTTAGCACCCACTCAAAACCATCATCAATTGCAGAGCGTTGCTTTCATATATATTTCCTAGTATATGAAGTATCATGTATGATGTATCCCACTAATCATGTTAGTTTCCCTACATTCTCTTCATAGCACTGACTACTAAAGAGGGATTTGGAAAGCCATAGCCAGTGAWTGAAGATATGGATTTTTTTGGCAGAATGCGAAGACATGGATAAAGATCATATACCTCTTATCTGCAAAAATCATCATCCCATAATCTGCTTTTGAACGAATTACTCGGCCAACGCATTGAGCAGCTTGCCTCTGCCACCCAGCAGAAAGTGATTTAACGGCTAAATTTCTATGGCCCATATGAACCAAATAAAAAAACAAGAAGAAAAAAATAACTTAGTTGAATTTCATAGGCAAAGTGTAAAATTAATACCAAGGCATCAAAAGTCAAAAAATCTCCTTCTTTTATCTGAAATGTTTCCCGTAAATATTCTAACCGAGCAAGCAAGATTCTGTAAAATTGAATCAAGTATGAGACTAAAGCAAAATAATCAAAATTAGTGGAACCTAAAGTTCCCATAATTTAAGATTGTTGACAAAAATGAAAGACCACAAGCAATACATGCTGACCTGCTGAGTGTGTATTGAAAAGGAACCCCAAACATGATCACTAATCTGCCATAATGGCGATCAAAATCTATACCTTCTGCTACTTTTCCCCTGCAAAACAGGAGGTAGTGTCTTATTCTTAATATGAGAAGTTCAGGGCAGTTCCATGTGGGACAAAAGAAAGGGCCTTTAGTTTCCAAACAAGAGACTGGGGAAATATGTGAGAACCAGATGAAAAGAGAGATTATTTAGAGAATAAAAATGTATCAATCACAGATCTTCAATGAATAGGTAAGCTGAGGTTAGCAAAGCATGTAGACTATATTTTTACTCATACCATAGGAAGTAGGAGAGATTTATATTATTATTGACCCCTGAATATCAATTGATAAGTGGTGTCAAAATAAACATTTATAATTGAGAATCTTAAAACTGTCCACAACTTGACTGTGTTGGTACTTGTTTTGAACCACATGCTAACTTTAAGTTTAGCATCTGAACTAGTTTCTCCATCAATGTGGAACACAGATATGTCTGAACTTGTTCTCTAACATTCTCTTATTCCTTTCACCTATAATTCCCTCATGACCACATTAATTACTCTCATCTAGATTATTTGCCCAAAAACCAAAACCACCATATAAAAAACAATTATAACCAACATTTTAAGGCCTGATAATAGGCATTAAGAAAGAGACCAAGGCTCAAGCCTCTCAATGAATTACTGAGGTTTACCCTCACTCAAGATATGTGCTTCTTTCAGGAGGCCAAGAAGAAAAGAATCCTTGTTGCTGAATAAAACTATGGCACTATATTCAACCTTTTCTTAAAAATCCAAGTCCTTATTCATCAAATGTAGAGTAAGCATTTCAACAATTTAAAAAAGTTCTGACTTAAAAACATTGTCAATAGAGCATATGGATTCCAAAACATCTGTCTACACAAGGAGTTTTGGGGCTTTAACAAAAGCTATCTGAAACAACTTAGGGCCCATTTGGGAGGGCTGAGCTAAAGATTCAGCTAAGCTGGTTCAGCTGCTTTGGAGCACTCCAGATAAGGCTATTACGCTGAAGCAGACAGCCCTTCAAATGACTGGCTGACAGCCAAATTGGCCTCTCCAGATTTTTCACCAAGCATAGCTTATAGGCTGTCTGTGTGAGGCCCACCTCGGAAAGCCAGAAGCCACTGTGCTTCAACCCTCACAAACAGGCATTTAAACTTACAAGATGAATAAGCTTAAAGACACCAACTTGAATAAGCTCCTTGATCTAAACAAAACAGTCTATAAGGCCTTGATGGCTGGAAATAAGCCAAAAACACCAATAGGCTCTTATGAGCTATACTAAATGTCACCATAAAGGACTAACACTAAATTTTCAACAAGTCTTAATCTGAATTTCTGACAAAAAGACCTTTTTTGCCTTGTTTCATCAAGCCTCATCACCTCAAGTACATATTAAATCATTAAAATAGCACGAGGCAAGTGATTGATCATTAAACATTAAAGATATAGGCCATAATTTACAGAACTTTTTTTCTTTTTTTCCCTTGGGGGATCATTAGCAGAGAATTTTATTGATGGATAAGGTAAATACAGGGCAAAAGCCAGAATAAACAGAACCAATAAGTATAGTATCCACACACAGTGAACAGAGATCCTAAAGATGCAACACCAAACCAACCAAATGGATACACTAAGGCTATGTTTGGTTTGAAAGAAAAGGTAGGGAAAGGAAGGGAAAGACAGGGAAACCTATACAAGGTTTATAAAAGTTTCCTTACCTTTCCCTTCCTTTCCCTACCTTTTCCTTCAAACCAAACACAACCTAAAGGAAGCCAAGGAAACGAAAGTTGAAGATCCGCCAAGTCAGAAGTCCCTAATATAAATCAGCTCCAGATAAGTCCTCAGCAAACAGAATTCATCAACCTAGGCATCAACTGGAACAAGATATTCAAGGTGGCAACCAAGGAATGAGCTCCCTGCTAAAAATGCATCGATCTTCATAAGCCCCTGGACTTTGCTAGGAATAGCTACTTGGATCTTGGGAGGGGTAGGCTGGATATAGACCTAATCTTGGGAATTTTCTGAACAAGTGATTGTTGTCAGACTCAAACCCTTTGTTCTCATTTTTGTCAGCCTGATGTTCCATCATTTTACCAAGCAATGCTCTTTCTAATTTTATATAACAAGAAATAAGGATACATTTTGGAAGGACAGTCAGAAAATGTAAGCAATCTGACAAGCAAGCACCATTATTTTCTTAAAGTTAATTTGCTAACATTTCTAATAAGCTCATGCAATTGCCTCTTTTTTCTACAGAAACTCATCAATGGTTCAGTATTGATATACCTGATATTCTCAGTACACATTTTGTCTACCACAACTAAAAAGAAGATCAAGAAGTCAAAGATGCATGGATTCATTTGAAAGGTTTTGTATATAATACTTAAAAAGTTAAGGGGAAGAAAAGTATCAGGTAAGAAGGGTGAAAGAATGAACCTGGCAACGGAAAAAAAGACAGCACCCCTTCCACAATCGCAAGCTCTACGATAGTTATCCAGAGCCAATGTTGTTTCTACCACATCCTGTGTCTCAATAAACACAAGCTTATGCTGCATTACATCCTACAAAAAGGAGAGACATCATTTTACATTTTATCTAAAAAACATATCTTCCCAGCAAAATAGCAAGTCAAGAAATGGTCAATTATTATCCATCAAGAAAGGAAATTGTCAATTGACTAAGCAGTTAAAACAAGACTAGCAGATCATGAAAATAAATTAAAATGAAAGACAATAAGTGAACCTTATGAACAAAGAAATGAAAAAATTAAAAAAAAAAACATCAATATCATATGAAAAATCAATCAACATGTAATACGATAAGTAGAGGAAAAGAAGGTCACCACAAGATCAACTGAAAAATCAAAAAGAACATGTAATATGAATAGTAGGAACCACCCAAGGCATTAAAATGTCCAATAGGATCTCATAATGTAGTGATTCCAATGGCAAATAGGGTCCGATGTTACTGAATAGCTTAGAGAGTAGGTTATTCTATAACTAGTGATTGTTAATACCATCATAGTAGGTTTCATACATTATGCACATGTAGGATTTAGAAAGATTTAAGTGTGGCTCTGAAAAGTGGGCATTGGTCTTTGTGTATTCTGTATATGAGTGAGATAGGGAGAGGGAGGGAGATGCTTGCATTTCCATAATACTAAGTTGATTCCCATAATACAACCTTTCAGATTTCAGGCTGTCTGCCAATTATCATCTATTCATCTTTTTTTTTTTTTTGGATCAGCAACACAGAAATGATTTCATTAATAAAAAATAGGCACGAGTACAACAAGAGGTTGTGAAAATAGAAGAAAAGCACAGCTATGAAAAAGCTGCCTCCCAGATATTACAATTGAGTCCTGTGCAACCCTTGCTTAGCCAGACCATCTGCCAAGCTGTTGGCAGTTCTACTCACCCACTTAACTCTGATTGTCAAGTCCTTTGCTAACCATTTAAAACGCCCTGAAGCCATTCCTCAGGTGCCATGTCACCCCACTCCTTCCTTCAGCCATTTCACAACAGTTCTCAAATCGCCCTCAATGACTGGGTTATTGATGCCCAACTCCTTTACCTTCTCGACCCCGTATACTGCAGCCAACAGTTCTGCTCTTGCCACATCACCCTGTTCGGCAGGCCCTGAGTATAAGGCTATGATGTTTCCTTCCTCATCCCTAATTACCCCCCCCCCCAATGCCTGAGGGGCCCAGGTTACCCAAACATCAAAATTCAGTTTCTTCCAGCCGCATAATGGAGGTGACCACATCTCAGCAGGTTCCTGTCTTCTAGAAGATGATCCAGCAATAACATCCCAGGCCCTAAAAAAGTATTCAACCTTAAAGTCTGAAAACAGTTTCAAACTTTTTGCCCATTGTGCCACTCTTAAGGTTATGATTTCCACCAAGGTTTCCTTACTCCTTTCTCTTTCTTCAAATATTCTTGAATTTCTTTCCTCCCAAACTGTCCATGAATAGATGAATTATCATCAATTCATCTCCTCATCATTGAAACTTAAAGGTTAGGGTTCCAAAGAAACTCCTAAAGGAGTTAAATAGGTAGCTTTCAAGGAGAAGAAGGGTAGGAAAATACAATACTACACCAAAAAGAAAATATAGTAATGCATATTCCCACCTGTAAGATTCCCATTTCATTCCAACTATTGACAATTCCATCCATGTATGAGTAACTGACAAAGAAACAAACGATCCCATCTGGAACAGCAGCCACCATTTCAAGCAAAAGCCTCCCATAATTTCTCACAACACCTGGATCACTCCTCATATCAAACTTTGTACTTACTGGAAGCTGATCACTGCAAAAACATGGCAAATTAGCATTGTGGAAAAAAACAGAGAAAAAACAAATTAATAATTTAGGTTATTGATCTTTTGTGATAAAAATTCACATAGATTGTTCATAACTCCATGCAAAGGAAAACATTACCTCCCACGAGTAAGGACCATTGGACATATGCAATCCCTTGTCAAAGACATTGTAAAGCTTCGACTAATTACGGGATTAAAGTTAAGAAGACGGGGATAGAGATCTATTGGGCTTAAAGTTCCAGATGTTATTATAACCGATTGGAATCTCTCAAATACAGGCTTTATCGCAATAGAAGCATCATGACAACTGAGCTGGATCACCAAATAAGAAAACGAAAATAATCAGAGATAATTTCTGCAGAATAGGAAAAAAAATATTAAGACACCAAAGTTCCATGCATAAGCTTTGTGACACACATCCAATGGGAGAGGCCTACTATTTAAATGTTCAGAATCAGACCAAGGAAAGATTTATGCAGAAGCATCATGGAAAGTTAAACTTGGCACTGAAAAATATTTAGTAACAACTAATTTCCTATTACTAGAAGTTGCAAATTTACCTGCAATACTGGATCAGGTATATGTGGCATCCTCTCATCAAAAGGTTCAATTATTATTGAAAACCCCCGTGTGTAGGTCCCAACCAATGTTGCAAAGTCACAAATTGTTTGAATATGTAAGAACTCATCAGTATCAGTTATTTCCAATGTCAACATGAGTGAATGTAGACGATCATAACAAAATTTCAGCATTTTCTGATCAATGCCAGCCTGGGAGTTTATAGAAGCAACAAAGGCAACTAGTCCTTCCTTCTCAACATTCTCCGTTTGCAAGCGTCCTTTAAAATATTGTACCAATCTCCGTAAGACGGATAGAAAATGCTCTGCTCGCCGAATATTCCCTGGCACAGCCTCCTTTAAAATATCATTAGGCAGGACAGGATTTGATAGCCAGTTATCCGTAACTGCAAGGACAGAAATATTAAATTTGTGGAATTTCTTTTTGGTCGTGAAAATTTGCGGAAAGTTAAAAAAATTATATTGAGAACCAAGAAAGCATAGTTCAATTATGAACTAAAAATGTATAAGGATTATGCATACTAGGCAGGTTTCCCCTTTGAGCCAAACCCTCAACAAGTCGATTATATTCTGCACGCAATCTGCCAGCATCAGTGGCCTTCAACCTTCCTACCATGTCAAAGATTTCCACAAATAAAAATTATCAAAATTTAGTGGATGAGAAAAACGAAATATGAATAAGGCCCTGTTTGGTTTGTGGGAATAGGGGGTCTGGAATCGGAATCGGAATCGGAATGGACTATTCCAATCCCAACTGTTTGGTTGCATATAATCGGAATCCCACTCCCATTCCTGCTGGAATGGTCATTCCCTGTCCCTCCCTTGGGAATGAAATCCCATTCCTGCTGATTTCAATTCCCATTCCCATTCCTGTCTGAACCAAACAGACTATGGGAATGGACCATTCTGATTCTGATTCCAATTCCGACTGTGAACCAAACGAACCTAAATAAATGAAAACATATAATCATACATAACCTATAAAAATGAACTTAAAACCTGAAATATGAAAATCAATTAACATTCTTGAGATCTAACAGTACATTTTTGGGCTTCATAACCTCGTTATCAGAAGAAGGATATTTGGACTAAACATAAAAGATTTATGATAAGTTTAAAATATGAGAAACTACAAAAGGAAATAAGGAAAAATCAAAAAGGGATTAATGAATATAAAGAGGAAATGCATTGAACTTTTCTGGTTCAAAAGAATGCATTAAAAATTTATGATATATTTTTATCACCACCTCTCTAATCAATACTTCTCTGATTAGAAGTAGGGATCGCACAGAAATTTGTATAAATTATGATTAAAATATAACTAAAATGTATTAAGGGCTTCATCGTGATAAATTCATGCAAAATTGGGAGAATATACCTTTTTATTCTTCTTTTAATTAATGTATAGAAGTTTGTCTTTATATCCTGCTGTCCATGGCCTAATCTATTAAGCATGTAAAAACATCAGCAACTTTTGGGGGTCATCCCTTTTTACTAATACAATACACTTCATTATTGTCCCAAAAAAATATGCATTGGCATATGCAGTGTTAAAAGTGAGAGGTGCAAGAAAAGCACAAAGGCCTTGTAGTCCAGAGGCACAACCCTGGGTAAAGCAATACATAAATTTAAAAAATCAAGAAGATAAAAAAATATGGAAACCTGAATTAAAAAAAATAAATGCTTTAAAGTTGTTAGCTCAAATCAAATGCATAAGTATGACATACAAAAAATTCAACGTGAAAGCAAAAGAGATTTGAATTGTACAAAAATGCTTCAAGCACTCAATAATTTAAGCATGTGAATTTCTCAATGTGTTTGTCCATCTCCTAGTTGCATTACTGCAAGTAGCTAGTGTGATGTTAAAGGTTTTGTGTTCCTAATGCTTGGAGAATAGAGCTTTAGTGGAGGCAAAAGCTTTGGCCCACATATATAAGGGGGCTGGTTTTGTAATTTTAGTTGCAGTTCATCCTATTTTAGGATTAAGGATCAAAGATCAGTTGTAATATTATTGCTTCTTTAGTGGAAGTTCTGTTATCTAAAATCTATCCATAACTAGGATTTCAAATGTTCAAAAAGGTCTTTTTTATTTCTTTTATAAGTTAATAAACCACTACTGGTGCACAAGCACCAATTAAAGTATTCTAGAAGTTAATAGACTATTATAAAAGTGTAAAAACTAAAAACACATAAGAACATATAAAAAAGCAAAAAACACACGCCTTTTGAGCCGGGAATCACCTAGGTTCAAGTGAGGCCCATGCCTTAAAATGAGCCTCACCTGTGCGCCTAGGTTCACCTTTAAAGGTATATCAAAAGAATGGACCAAGGGACATAGCTTTACATGATTCATGAGAAAGAATTGTGTCCAAGATAAACATGTATTTATTTCTATATCTCAAAAGTTAAAATAAAAAGTATTTTCTCTCATTGATTTCAGTAGAATTCAAACTTATAACCATGAAATTCCTAGAATACTGATACCCAAAGAGGCCAGCTGCCTCTTGATCTTCCCTTCGCAACATTCAAATGACTGCTCTTGCATTTGTAAATCCAACAGTTCCTTTCCTTTCAAAGGCAACCATCCCCTTGGGCTGAAACCCCTAACTGGCCAAGCTCCTATCAGGGCTACTAAGTCTTTGGGAATGACCCACTGCCCATAGAATATTGCAGTGAAACAAGCAAGGATTAAAATATCAATACAATATGGGACATATCATATCAGTATAGGTATACCCAGATACGCTTGGATACACCGATACACAGATTTTTTGAAACATTTAAAAGGTTTCACACCTCTTCCCCAACCTCCTAATCATTATAAATTAAAAAATAAAAAATAAAACATAAAAAAGGGTGAATATCAGCCATATCAATATACACCGATACCCATGTTAGTGTGTTGGGTGCATCAATACTTTAATCCTTGGATACGAGGCAAGATCTCATAAGGGAAATACCGAAATAGCAAGTAAAAAGATTTGCTATTGACGCCTTCATCACCCCATGATGACCATCTATTTTCCAACTCCTGACCCCATGAGATAAGATGATCATTTGTTAAAAATCTTGTCTAGTACTGTTGTCCACATGAAAAAACAAGGCATCTTTTGGGTAGGTAAATTAGGTTCTGAAATCCATTTCCAGGAGACTGACTCTCCACTCTCCAGTGATACCCCTTAAGGCCTTCTAGAATGTTCTACAGAGAAGCATCAATTTTGGCATCCACTTGTCTTCCTCACTAACCTTATGCAGGTCCATTGCAGTCTCAGAAAAGGACACAGCTGGATCATCCGCTATTCTACACAGGGCACATAGAACATATAGTGGATTCTACACAGCATATGCCATGCCAGAAACAGATGCAGCTCACTGAATGCTGAGTATCTCTTGAAGTCTAGTAATACTTTCATTATACCATTCCAACAGCATTGTCATTCAATGTTTGAGATGGCTCCCAACTGAAATTTGTTCTGGCATACTTATTTGTAATCACTTCCCTCCAGGAGTTTGACTGTTCTTAAGTTTAACTGTTCTCGCTATATCACTATAGACACGCCACAGAACCATTGGGATTTATCATGAAGTCTTCTATCAAACCAGTCTCCTCTCCTTCTCTAAGTGGTTTAGTGCATTTGTTACAATGGTAAATAGAAATGGGGATATGGGTTAAGGGGTCCCCCCATCTCAAACCCTTGGAGATACTAAAAGAATTTTTTTGATAACCCATCTATTAACATCAAGAAGATTGGTATTGATATGCAGCTCAAATCCACCTCCTTCACTTCCTGTCAAATCCCATTCTCCATGTCAGGTTTACAAATAGTCCTTGTCTCCCATTCTCTTATTTGTGACTCAATATGCACATCTACAATCAATGAACCGTCAAGAATTTTCTTTCCACCTACAAAATCTCCTTATGATGAAGAGATTATGGGCCCAAGTATCCTCTACATTAGTTTTTTTTTTATTGTTGTCCTCTACATTAGTTTTCAATCACCTTGTACCTTGAACAGTAGTTTATAGACACTTTTAAGTTCCAAGCTAATAGGTCTTACCTTCCCTGCTCCTTGCAGCTTCAGAATCAGGGCTGTGAAGGAGGAACTGACACTACGTGATTAAGTGTTAGCTGCAATGTTAGCATGGCACTTTGATAGTGTTTATACGCTCTTGCCAGATTAAGCATTAATTAAAGGCTTAGCACCGACTAAACATGAAATTAATGGTTATACTGTTAAGGTTGAGAACTGACGTAATTAAAAAAAGCAAAAGTGAGTGGGTTCGTAGAACTTGCGAATTTTAATTTTTTAGGTTTCCTGCAACAGAGATAAATCAATGGTTCCTTGTTCACATTTTTTAATAGTAGGTAGACAAACCAACTGGATATTGCTCAAATATGTTATCTGAAGCCAATATAAATAAGTTGACTCCAGGCCCTTCCTCCCTCCCTCCTATATAAGTTCGCAAACACAACAATGAGGATGATCAATCTTACTTCTACAGCAGAATACAATGGCCATGAAGATATACAGGCAATAAACTGAGATAAGAACAAGAACTTACCTTTCAATCTCTTGAGACATCTTGCTGAGATTCCTTGTAGCTCCTTCAAGAGTCTGCGTCCTGATACTCACACTAAGTGCCTCAATACACACATTATCAATATTATGCGCCTCGTCAAACACCACCACGCATTCCCTCTGCATCTCCTTCGATATAATCCCAGCAACCTTCGGATCGAGCAAGTACTGGTAACTATAGACAACCACATTGGCTAGCTGCACCATATGCCGCGCTAAGAAATACGGGCACCACCCTTTCTCCTTCCCAAACGCTCTCAAATCCTGCAAGGTGTAAACCCCGGGAGGCAACATTGCATCCGATCCCGCCTTCTCGTAATTTTCGAAGAAACAACAAGTGGGGATATTAGGGTTCTCGATTGCCATAGCACGGACCCAGCTGGCGGTGAGCTTGCGGCAAGCGGCATCGACGGAGTCGCGGGAACTGCCAGAGACGACCGACGGATTGATGCAGAGGTTCTTGCGGGAGGAGAGACCAAGGGCTAGTATGCGAGCAGAGGGGCCAAGTTGGCTTAGTTGGTAGTCGTGGAGGAGGCGGAGCTCGGCTAGGGTTTTCTCCATCTCGTGAACAGTGCGGGTGCAGTAAAGGAGTTTTGGTGGGTTCGAGGGCTTGGAGAGGGCGTAGCTGGTAATGAGAGAGAGGAGTGCGATGGTTTTTCCGGTGCCCGTCGGCATCTCCAAGAGGCAGTGACCTCTGGCGTCTAGGGCTCGTTTCAGTTCCAGCATGTACGCATACTGCTCCGGATAGATGTGATCGTACGGGAAGTAGACCGTTACATCCTCCAATTGGAATTTCATCGCTGCTTCGAGTGCGAACGCTCACGAAACTCCCTCCGTCTCTGTCGATGTTCTGAACCAGCTTTCCAGTTCGAAGTTTGTTCAAGAAATACTGAATCAGCGAGGCAGCAAAAAGTAGCGACTCAACGAGGGGTATTTTAGTCATCGGACGTGAAACATCATCACCTAATAAAAGAATACGGAAATAACCTCACTTCATATTCAATGACCAAAATACCCTTCCAACAATATAATAGCGGGAAAACAAGATTACTTCGACTAGGAAAAACAGCAACAGTTTCTGTGAATTACGGATTTTTAGAAGAAACTGTGATCTCGTTCGACTTTGTTTTGTGGCAACGCAGGCATTGATCGTGTACGCCACAGGGCATAGACTGCTGTATCCGGTCAATTTTCAGAAAATTGACTAATTTCTGAAAACTTTTTTATTCTACGAACTTTAGGACCTACTTTCAATTTAGCACCAGAATTTCAAAATGTGCCATTAAAGTATCTAAATTTCTAAAAACTATCAGTTTAGTCAATACCATTAATCAAGTTTGGGGTTATGTATAATTTTCTAGTTTTGTTCATCTATTTTTAAGGTTGATGGCATAACTGAAATTGGTCCGGATCCAGTGCTTCTAATAAACATCTATTGGCTTTGCTTAGGGTCTAACCCTAGTAGCTTAAACAAGTTGTTCCAACTCCTTGGCAGAACACCAGTATCAGTCTTGTGAGGATAAATTCCCCAAATCTATTCAATGGCTGAAAACATTATAAATTAATACGAGTCTCTTAAATGTTCAGTTTAAGGTTTGATGCACAAAAATATAGCAATATTAATATGAAACAATAATGTACTTTATTCATTTACAAATAAATGCTTATGTAAATCAATATGATTGGAGTTAAAGGCATACACTATTTAACAAGAAAACATTATTCATTGTCATCTACCTTGAAACTGAACCATAATAGATATTATATCAAATTGAACTCAAGGTAAATTCTGATTTGAAGCTTCAAATTCGATGCCTATAGCTGCACATCCCTCTCTTCTAAGATTTTCTGCAACCAAAGTACCTCATCTTTCATGCGAAGAGGCAAATGGAGTACAATGTGAAGATAAAACATTCAACCGCATAACTTTCTAAAAAGTTATTTAAATTAAATAATATATATATATATATTATTTAATTTAAAAAATAATATCGTAATAGACCCAAACCTTCTCTAGCCATTTTTTCCCTAAACCCTACTACTTCTTATCTCATTTTCCTGTTTCACACCCCCCCCCCCCCCCACCTACTAAAAGAAAAATCTTGGCTTGCCACTGATTGTAGTATAGTCTTGGGGCCAAATCATGTTGTCATTAGGTTGGGGGTTACGGGTTTGGGGATGGGCTACCCTATTTGTGTAGCCCCACTTGGAGTATGCTAAATAGTATAACAAGAAATATCACCATGTACTTTTAGGATAGTGGTAGTGACACTTAGGCCCTAAACTTTCATTTGCTATACTTTAGATTCCAACACCTTACTCGGATACTCCTATGTTAGCAATCCATCAGCCTATAACTTTTATGAAACCATTTTGTCTTTTTTCTTTATTGTATCTCCAAAACCCAAGTTTTGAACTTCCCTATCTCTTTTTTTCCTCTTTTAAAGAGAGACAAATTAGCTAGGGTTGAAAACTTGGGTTTTGAAGATGTAGTAAATTATAGGGAAAAATGGTATCGTCAAAGTTCAAAACTAATGGAATGTTAAAAACGGTAACAATAATGTAGTGTTGGAATATGAAATTACAAGGTAGCTCTTTGCGGTAAATGAAAGTTTAAGGACCCAAGTGTCACTACCCCTGAAGTATAAGATAGTTATTTGTATTTTACCCTTTTATCATGGATTTATTTGGTTTGCAGTAGTAGGGGTTTAGAATTAGAATTAGAATGACCCATTCCAATTCTAGTCATTTGGTTGGGCAGAGTGAGATTCTAATTCCCATTCTTGGTGGAATAGCATTCCCCCATTTGAGGGAATGGCCATTATGGTCTCTCCCTTTGAGAATGAGAATCTCATTCCAGACATCTAAAAAGAAAAAGACAAGTGACTTAAAAACCCTCACAAACCCTATTTCTCTTTACTTGGTGCCAAGTCTTCTTAGAATCATGCAAATTCTAAGGATTCCGATTCTGATTTTTGTTTGAACCAAATGGGGAATAGGTGATTCCAATTTCGACGGGAATAGTCATTATCATTATTAGATTCATGTTTTATATATATATTATACTTTCAAATACATATGTTCACAAATTTAATTTTGCAATTTCTCATTCTTTTGTCTCATCAATATTAATAATGTGACATCAACGAACAACATACCCTGCCAAACATGTTTAATCAGTCCATCCATGATTGGTACAAATAAATAACCATATATGCTGAACCCTAGTGAAGTTCTATTATAATTGCAAACTATTGGCATTTATCCTACAAGTACTCTAAAATGTTACATTATCATAAATGCCTTTTCAATTAGGTCTAAGTGCCTATTTGGCATTCAGATGGTCATTGAAAACTTTAGTCCATTTATTTTTGGGAAAAGTACGGAAATACACGATGCAGAATTCTGAATTCCAGCCCCCCCCCCCCCTTACAATTAGCCTTTTCCCCTATAAACCACATCCTACCCGTGAATTTGGCATCAATTCACAGTCAGAATGCATTTTCCCCGTACTTTGGGCCTAGTAAATTTTGATATGGGCTGATTGGTACTTCTCCCTTTATTTTTCACTTACCACTATCATGCCACTTAACTAGTAGTAGTAGTAGTAGTAGTAGTAGAAGTTTTTAGTTTGATGAAAGGAATTTTGTTATTGCATATCATGGTTTTCAAAATCGGACTGGACCAGACAGTCGGACCAAAAAAATCAGGAATTGATCACCTGACTGATTATGTTTTCCCCAAAAACTGGATTCCCCCCTAAAACCGTTGATTTTGGTCAGCGAACCACTGAACCAGGCGGTTAACCATTCGAACGGTTTTTTGAATTTTTTTTTATTTTTCTGTCATAATGGGCCGAGCGTTCGGTTCAAATGGTCGGATCGTTCGACAGGGTAACCGAACCCCTGACCAGTTCAGTTTTAAAAACCATATTTCAGATTATGAATAAAATAACTTTAATTTTCGAAATTAAGTCATTATTCATCATTTACAATACTAAAATAATATTTCAATAATTATAATTTGATTTACTAATATATGACATCCAAATATAATCGAAGCCATCCTTATCTCGATCTGACGGGTAACATTACTTTCAGAGTCAAATGCCTATAGGCGGATCAAATTTGTATCAAGTTCAAAGTATGGAGTGATATTCATGTTTAGATATAGTTTCAAGCTTCAAGATTTGAACCAAAGATACGGCTTAATAAAGGTATTAATGATTGAAAACCAGCTTAGCAAGGGTGTTAGTTACTGAAAATGGCCTTTCAATATTTAAACTAGGGTATTGGTGGAATCAAAACCCATATTCTCTCTTAGATCTGTTTACAAAATTGTGTAAACCAACCAACCCAATTAAACCAGATATAATGGCATAAAACCCTATCCTCTTACTATTGTTTTAAGGTTTTTTCTTTTCTTATTTGACTTGTGTCAGTTGCTACTAACGTTTAACTCTCTCCTTAGTTCTAACTTTTTTTCCTAAAAAAAAAAAAAACAAATACCTATAAAAGTAAAAAGGCTACGTATGCACAATGTGAAATCATGGATTGTTTAAATGAAAAAGGCTGTAAAGTTGTCAGAGGTTAGTAGAGTTCATACTTCAAGCAATATTTTGTTTAAAGCTTAGGAGGGTTCCCTTGGATCTTTTTATTCTTAGGTTTGGTTTGCTTTTTCGGTAAGTTATTTATCCGGGTAAATGCAATTATTTGGGTAACTTTTTTCTATGAAGCACTTACCTGGGTAAGTTCATTTACCCATATTCTTTTATTTCCTATGTAAATAAGGTAATGACCATTTTAGCCATAAAAATCTATTATTAAAAGAGGCATTTTTGTCCCATTCAAGTATTAACAACTTTCCCCCTTCGGTGAGAAAGTTATTTACCCACCTAGGAGATGGGTATCACTTACCCGGGTAAGTGGTACCCGGGAAAATAAACTTTCCTTGATCTCCACATAAATCTAAAAAATGAATATGGGATTCTTGGTCAATGGGAACCAAAATCCCATTGACCAACTTTCCCCCCTCTCAAAATCCAAAAAAAATAACACCCCCTTAGTGGGTGAGTATACATGCATCTCATTAAGTTGTATGAGAGTATGCCTTTGAGACAATGTCCCTTGGATGAGGAATGACCCCTTCAAATAATGCTTTATTTCTCTCTTCCCATATAAAATATAGTATGATGCAACCTTTGCCAAAGAGGATAAGGGCATGATAGTGTGTTGTGTAATGTTTAGGAATATAAACTCTTTTTTGAAAGATCTTTTTATGCATATTTTGGTGCGGGTTGTCAACTTTTTAAAAGCCCAATACTCATGTTTTTTTTTGCATTTTCTCGTTTGGTTGGAAAAATATCTAGCCGCCAAAAGACGTTGTGTCGAAAAGATGTGTGAAGCCCATTTTTGGACGATTTTCTAGAAGGTCCAAGTGGAGCTTTTCGGTTTTTTCAACTCATATTTGCACATAAAGACACATTATAACCAAACGGTCTTTTAGCTGTCAAGATCTTAATGCAAAATCTCACTACGTTTTTTCATTATTAGAGCTTCTAGACAATTTTTCAAAAAAGAATTGCCAAATGACCCCGTAGTGGGCTTTTACATAAAGATATTGACAACCCATAGAACATTTGGTTGGAGGCGCATCTTTCCGCGCAATGACGACACGAAAAAGTTGAAAAGCTCCATTTGAAGCTTCCTGAAATGGGCTTCTTGCGTCTTTTCGGGGCAGAGTCTTTTGGCGGCCAGATCTTCCCCCAACCAAATGGGAAAAGACGAAAATGTGGGTTGTCAGGCTTCTAAACAACCGACGGCTCATGCGAAAAAAGATATGCCAAATGGGTCGTAAATAGAATAAAAGATACCCATTGACCAACTTTTCCAAACTTATTTATCGGTAAATGAACATGGCCTTAATTGCATGTCTTTCCATGCAATGACGAGACAAAAAGGTTGAAAAGCTCCATTTGAAGCTTCTTGAAAGTAGCTCGAAATGGGCTTCCGTATCTTTTCAAGGTAGAGTCTTTTAGTGGCTAGATCTTCCCMCTACTAAATGGAAAAAGACAAAAACGCGGGCGGCTAAGCTTTTAAACAACTGATGGCCCATGCGAAAAATAAGTGCCAAATAGGGCGTAAATGAAACAAAAGATACACATTGACCAACTTTTACTTATTTACCAATAAACGAACATGGCCTTAATTGCATATATATATATATATATCACATACAAATGATAAAAAAATTGAATCCAAATATGATATATAATATCTATACTATTATAAATGAATACATGCCTTGATTTTAATGTAGGTGATAAAAGTTAAATTTGATTTTAAATGTCATGGAACACATGCCAAATGCCAATACATTATTATTGGTGAAAATCAATGTTTATTTGCACACATACATAGCACCTCCTATATAGAGATGGCAATTTGCCACATCCCTGTGGGGCCCTGCCCCGATTGGGTTGGATTTATTTACTATTAATCGGGGTTCAAGGATAGTATTTATCCATTGGGCCCCAATTATATTATATTATATTATAAAATGGTTCTAACTAAATTTAAAAAAAATAAAAAATATATAAATTAATAAATATACAAATAAGAATAATCGGGACAAAGCAAGGGAAAGTCGGAGATCCCCGTTCCCCACAGGGACGGGGATGGAGTTCGTATTTTTAGTCCTATCGGGGTTTATGGTGGGTAAGGAGCGAAAATTTTAAACTTGGGGTCAGGTACGGGGCAGGCAAAACCCGACCTCGCCCCGTTGCCATTCCTACTCCTGTACATCGTACAAATATACAGTAAGGTAATATTCTTGGTTTAATTTATGGCTTGGACGTGAAGCCAATGCAATTATCGGCATCTATCGTTAAGTAATTTTCGAATTCTTTGCTAAGAAGCCGGCTTCTATCAGGGCAGACTTCATGCATGCAGCATGAAAACGCACCATACGTCCTTGAAACGTGCGAGGTGTATCTCTTCATTCCTTATCCTCTCTCGCCAGATTCCTCTCGTTCTCACTCTCTCGCCACACCGAACGGAATCCACTCTTTTCACTCTCTCTCTCCCTCTCCAACCGTAGCGACAACAGCTATTAATTACCAGTGACCGGAGAAAATTTTCAGATATTCATTTTTTTTATTCCTTTCCCAAACATTGCATCTTTGATCGTGCCGTTTGAATTTATTTTAGCTTCTTTTACATTACAATAGCCAAAATACCCATCATGTAATGTTTATTTCAGGAACAGGATGAGTTATGTCACAGCATTCCCTATTAGATAATAATCTAATCCAAACGCTACTCAAGGCAAAGGACAGACTCATCGAATGGAGTTTCTTAGAGGGAGAGAAGACCCGAATCTCCGAGACAAGGTCGGCAGAATGATTTCCACTTCTTGATCAAGGTGGTAGATTACGCAGTGATCTTCGCATGTAATTAGTAATAACTCTAGCCTTGCTTGCTGGTTCAACGACGAATTGAAAGAAGAAGGCATGGGGAAGCTGGCATGGATCATCGGAGAGACATATGGTATTGAACACGAAAGGCAGCCTTGTCCAATTTCCCAATGGTCTGAACGTTTCGAGTGGTTTCTGTAGATTGCTTGGTTTGTTGGGAGAGTCCAGATGAATCGGCATTTGCAACTTCCATGAGGTGTCCAAGGGACTGACTGGTCACTATATATCTATATAAAGAAAAATGGGATCCACCATATCAATGTAGTGGAGAGGGAGAAAGTGAGAATGAAAAGGGTGGATTCGATTCACTGGGGCGAGAGAGTGAGAGTGAAAGGAATCTCGCGAGCCAAGAGAGAGGAGAGGAGTGAATCTCGCGATTCACTAACGGCGTTTAATCACCTCGCACGTTTTAAGCGTACACACGTTTCAAGATCGCGTGGCGCGAACGGTGCGCGCTGATAGAAGCCGCTAACAGACGTGGGGTCCACTATGTTGCAGGGAGAAGAAATCCACGAGCAGCCCTCTTTATAGTCTATAGTTTATAGACGCTCTATGCGCCAAAGGCCCAAAGCTAAGGTTAGACAGAGGAGACTCTTGCTTCAAGGCTTCACGGTGCTGTGAGAGAAGGAAAAGCAGAAGCAGATTAGTGGAGAGAGAAGATGATTTACAGAAAGTGGAGTCTTCTTACCGGCCCAGTAACCATCTTGGGCTCTATCGTAGCTACCGTTGTCGTTGCGAATTACCTCTTCGTCAATAACGTAAGTTTCACCGAAACCCTAAATTTTGGATAATTAGCTCCGATTTGTTTTATTCATCGACCTGATTTTTCTTCCCATAATTATCTCTCGAATAATTCTTTCTGAATTTAACGTAGGATTTTTATTCACCACCGGGAGACAAGGGGATCAATGAATTTTCTTAGGGCTTTTGTTTAACTGTTATGTGCGTGTGTCTTTTGGTGGAATCATTTTGTTTTCATTTCTTTATTACGCTCCTCTGAATTTCATATTCCTGGTATATCGTCTCGTTGGTTTTCCTAAAACTGACTTCAAAAGCACTTGTTCCAAATACCGATCTGAAACCACAGTGAGGCTTTGAACACGCAAAAAACCCTGTTTGTTAAAGCGTTCCACTTGATTTGTAGTCATTTAACGCTCTTCTTGCAACCCACTTTCCAAATGGTAACGCTTAAGCTGCCTGGCTTCTCTACCATCAGATGCACCAAACTCACCGTGATTTTGACACTTAGGCCTATACGCCTGTCGTCGGCACAGCTCTATCAGACCTCACGAGAGGTCGGAAAGTCCATGTTTTGGTTATCAAAATTAGTTCTGTTTCCGATTCTGTTACACAAGCTGCTATCATTGACATCCACTCTTAGAGTCGGAACCTGAGTGGTTCAGTTTGTCTCTTTGAAGTGACAAAATCAAAGAATGTATTTGCACCGAGTACCATGATTTCAGGTTTGTTCCGCCATGGTCTTGCTATGCTAGGGATAAATTTAGTATATCTGAAGCAACGAGAAAGAATAACCCCAAAACTATTCCAGAGGTTAGATCTGTATCCAGTCCATCCCTCCCAAGACCTCAAATAGCTGGGACCAACATTGGGTGCTGGCCTTTTTACATAACGTATACAAGAAAAGAAAAGGAATGACAGCCTTGTTCAGTGCTTACAGAGCAGGAAACTATCGCGTAAAATAAATCTAATCTATCTCTGGTCCAGTAAGACCATATGCCATTGAATTTTGTTTTTGCAGGATGCATCTATTTTGAGCCGAGGTATTTGTCAAGATCTCTTTGATCTTATTGAGATAGCAAGATAGTCTCCAATGGTCACTCCCTCAACTTTGACTCCATTGGATTGTGTGTTTATTATATGTATATAATAAATACAACAATACCATTACCCTCTTTCATAAAAAGGCTGGAGCTGAAAAAATATTAAATTTAGATAACATTCAACATATTTGGAAATTACAATTTGCTAGATGCAGTAAGACCATATGCCACTGAGTTTAGTTTCAGAAGGATCCATCTGATTTAAGCTGAGATTTGCCAGGATGTCTTTGATAGCATTGATATAGTGAGCGACCTCCAAGGGCGACTCCCCCATCTGTGAGACCGTGACTCCATTGGATTTTATTAGTCAAGTCTACCACCCACAACGGCTAATTAGATGACCGGATTTAGTATGTACACCCATGTGAGCACACTGAGTTTCACAGTTGTATTAGAAATTTGCTTTGAGTCATTTCAAGGTTAGGCTGGGGGTGTTTATAAGATATGTGTTAGAAAATTTACTGAGTGCTTATTTAGTATGCTCATCGCCTTGCTGATTGTGCCTAAACCTAATCCAGATTCATGATGTTATGGTGTTTGGCTTAGAGCAGGTGTGACCAGCAACTTCAGCTTTGGTAGAACCCACATCCTCAATCTAATAAATGTTTCCACGAGTCCCGTACAAAATGCCACCAGTTCCACTCAGGTTGAGGCATGTCAGGTGCTTCTTGAACTCTCCCAGGACAGGGGAGAGATGAAGGTCTATAATATATACAACCCCACCTAGGAAGGAATATTAGCATCCAGTAGGTGTCTTCTAAGATCAACGAAAAGTCAATAGAACTCTTTTTTTTGTTTTTGTTTTTTTATGGAAGCCAATGGAACTTCTTGGAAAGCTGAAACTACATACTGAACTCTATTTTGGAGCTGAACAATTTTTTCTTTCAAACTTCTTTTCTTTTTTTTTTCCCCAATTCTCACATAATGACATTACTTATTGTTTTCCAGTAGATCATGCCTGATGCCCCTCATAACCAATCAATGACCCTTGCTCTGTCTCAGTGCATCACAAAGAGTTTCTGGGGCTACCTGTTCAAGGTCAACCAGCACCAAGAAGTGCTAAATTCCTAGTTATAGAATAATATAGGTAAAGGTTGGTGGCTGGCTCCCCATTTTGGGCTTCAACTTTGGCCAGGTTAACCCAAAGCCAACTCAAAAAAAGTTGGGTTGGGGTCAGGGTTGAATAGTATGAACCACTTCAGGTTGGGTTAGGGTTTAGGATTTGGCCAACCAACCCAACCTGAACCCGGCTTAGTTTCATATTTGTATTAAGGCAAAATTTTTCAAAACCTTGATAACTATGTTCTTTTACATAAAATAATGTTAAAACAGAGTTTGCCTCAGTCCTTGAGTCTAGAAGATAAGAACATTTGGCAAAAGGAAGTGAGAAGTTGGGCTAACTTGAAAACTTCAAGTTGGGGGTTGCTTGGGTTGGGTTAGGGTTGACGTTGACCCCACCCCGACCTAACCCAGCCTGACTTGCACTCTTGTCACCAATCCCAAGTCCCAATATTGTTGTCAATGGATTGGGTCTGATCTGGGTCAGGATATTCCTGGACCTGACCTGATAAGCAAATGTGCAGAACCAGTTCTGAACCAGACTCTATAGTGTCTGAAATCAGGACTATCGGGTCTCACCTGATAAGACCCAATTATAAATGACAGCTGTATTTTTAACCTGTAATTTGATACCTAACCTACTTATTTGTTAAATTGAATAGTTGATACATTAGGTCATCATATCATGATGATGTTAGTATGTTACAAGAATATCATGAGAAAAATAGGTATTTTTATGTTTAAAGAGAAAAATAAGTATCAGACCAGGGATATCTTTGTAATATACCAATGTGTGCGTATATATATATATATATAGTCATTTTGTGTCTTGATTGGTTCAGAACAGCTACAACCGGTCTGACCATGTAATCGGGACCCATAATGTAAGACCCAGACCCTAATTTGATTCTGTTCAATTTGGGCTTGTTGGGTCTGCCCAATCCATTGACAGTCCTATTTCCCAAGACACATGATGGATATGATTTCCCAGTCCATTTATCCTGCAGTCTGTCACAACTCACAAGTCCTCCAATAACTTCCCATACAAGGAAAGGAGCTTTAGGAGGAATGGATGGGGCAGCTGTATCTTTATATCCCAGTTAATGACCAAAAGATCTACTTGTCTTGCCTTCAACGTATTTTCTCCAATAGCTTTTGCCATCCCTTTCGGTGCATTGCTGCCCAATGAGTTCATTATTAAGTTTTGTGAAGCTTTATGTGTAGAAAAAGTTCTTCTGTTGTGCTTGTTAAAGATTTAGCTCCTGAAGTTAATTTTGATGGTCGAACTTTTGTCAATGTCCTTCTCTCTGACTTGTTAAAGATCAAACTTTTGTTAATGCCCATCCATCTTGGAATTTGCAGGATCCGTTCCTTAAGCCAGAGCAAAAGAAGCAAGAGATGTTACAAGCATCCACAAAATAGACTAATGGGAGGGGGTGATCATTCCTTGGATCTTTCCTTTAGTGTATGTTGTTATATGCCCTTGCAAGTGGGCATGGTTATGCGACTTACGTTTGAATTGCAGTTTGAAACAATAAACATTTGATTGAATAAAGTTGAGTTCCAGGGTTTTCTTAAATATCTTGTTTAATTTCTTTACCACTGGAGTGCAAAATTCTGTTTTGTGTCTGTAAGGGAAAAACAAGTTGGTTTTGTTTCGAAAAACAATACATGTTTTTGGAACCAACAAAATATTGGTTTCTAAAACAAAAACAAATATTTTAGTATAGAAATTATATGATTTTTAGAATAATCAGATGAAAACATGCTTTTGACACCAGATTCAACATGATGTTTTTGGTTCCAGTTTTGAAAACAAAAAACATACTCGCAACCAGTAACATGTTTTTTTATATATTTTTGTTTTATAAGATGGTTATTTATTTATTTTTGAAACCAGCAAGAAAAACAATTCACGTTGTAGAACGCAAACTTAGACAACACCAGATTCTTGGCCATCTTCATGAATCATGATCATGGATTTGGTTATGAGCCCATTTATTTGTCAATTTATCTTAAATGGGTTGTAGGTTGTATAAGGTGGTGTTTGGTGACATTTTAAAGAAAATTTTCCATATTCTCCATTCCTCTCTACTGAAGAGGAACTCGAACGAGTTTAGAACTCTAGATAAATTATCATAATCAATCACTTGGAGATGAACTTACAAATGCCAAAGTTGGTCTTAACATTTTTTTTCGGTTGAGCCTTGGCATTGCTTTTAGAGGAACATAGGCAGGGACATAAGCCATAAGCATCTCTAAGTTCTTAAAAAAACACTTTTTTTTTTTACTCTAATTTTAGATTTTGAGGCTGTTTGATAATAGCTGAAGTTATTTAACTTAAAGAGTTATTGTTTTCTCTTTTAGTTGTTAAAATAATTAAATAATAAAATCTTCAAACATACCGTGGTCTATTCAAACTTTAGTTTAAGCAATAAGCTTTTCTGTTCAGCTGTTATTAATAGCCCTAAATCTGGTGAGTAGATGTGTATCTATGAATGAATGTATGTATCCATAATTTTTGTTTTTTAAGTCAGTTAACCTTTGATTCACCAATCTTAAATTTGAGAAAGAAAACCATTTCAACAAAAATGTAATGGAGAAAGAGGAATTGGACAGATAATCCAATCTGTGCAAGCTTAAACCCAAATTTGATTTTTTTTTTTTTTTTTTTGATACAAAGGAACTTATATTAAAATTTTCCAAATAGTCAACTGCATTAAACCCAATTTGATCTTATTCGACAACTCGGGTTGCCCATCTAACCCAAATCCATCAATATGTCATAGGGCTGTTATATTAATCAACCCAAGCTTTAGCTCGTTAAGGTGCTTATAACTCCGTTAACGACTTATCCACTTAAGCACACAATATCAAAAGCTTCTTATTTAGGGATTACTATCCTGTACTGGGGGTTCAATTTAGTATCCCTCCCTGCCTCCGATTTGTTGTTGGTTTAATTGATATTAATTACATGTTCATTTTGTTGCAATTCCATGGTTTCATGGAAGAGTGTTTTTTTTTTTTTTTGGGGGGGGGGGGGTTATTGCATTTTCCATTTTATATAAAATGAGTATTTTAGTAAGTTAGTTTTTCTGTCATTCAACTTAAATGGAAATCACGGGTTAGCTAAACCCCCTAGGGTAAATTACAAAACCCGGGTTAGTGACAATTATCCCTTAAACTTTTATTTGCAACAAACGCTCTTATTATGGGGTGAATATACCCCCTACACTTTTATCTGAACTTTTCACTTTGCAACAAATATTCCATTCCATTAAAGTTCTGTCAGTTAACTTCAAAAATGATTTTCATTCAGCTGTTTAAAATTTTTTAAATCCTAAATTAATCTTTTCTTATTTATTTAAATGATTTATGATTCTATTAGTTTTCAAATATAACATTAAAAGTCCTCTCAATTGCTCTAATCTTATGATAGATAAAAATTTAAGGTTTCACTTGTTTTTCTTTAATTTATTGGAGAAAGGAGTGGATAGCTTTTATATACTTTAGAAAGAAGACATTCATGCCAATAAAATAAAACAAGAATTTAAAGAAAGTCGTTTTTCTATAACATAAAATGATTATTGTTATTTTAGCTGGATTCTTTGAAGAAAATAGAGGTATTTTGGGTAAATTAGGGTTTAAGAGAAAAGGGCAAAAAAAGAAAATAAAAAAAGGTTTTGTGGATGTTTTAATAATTTAATGCATTCTTTTGTCGCAAAGTGAAAATGTTTTGGTAGAAGAAGGGGGTCTCTGTAATTTACTTTTCATTTTTTTGGGTAAATTACAAGGACCCCTTGTTCTATGGGGTTTGTAACAAAGACCCCCTGCAGTTTTTTTTTTTGCAGCAAAGACTCCTCTATATTTTGACCATTAGACAAAGACCCCCTAGTTGGTTAGTCAGATAATGGAATACATTAAATTACTAAAATACCCATCAAAACTTTCTATATTTTCTTTTCATTGCCCTTTTCTCCTAAAAAACTCTTTTCTTCCTTGTGTTATACCAAAATTCTCTACTCAGATTCCGGTCATAGGTGGCGCCTTTAGCTATCTTCGAGTAACCTTTGGTATGGATATGATCATGCATAGTGAAACTCGTGTTGCGCTTTTTCATTTTTTCAATTCCTTTTAGTTTAGAGGCTCATAGCCATGGCGAGTTTAGAGCTTATAGCTCCCAACATCACCTTCTTTTTGGAAAAATAAATATTTTAATGGCGGAGATATGAGATGGGTCAACTAAACAGTAAACTAATACTCCGTTTTTGTCTCGAGTCTCGATCTCAATTTATCGATCCTATATAACCAGTAGTGGCCTCTACAAGATCCTCGACTAATCTCTGTTTATAGCCATGGATGAAGACATCCTTTTCCCTTCAGACATTGATCTCGACTTCAGTTGCACTTCCAATACCTCCACGAACTGCACCTTCACCTCTTCTAGTGCTTGCAGCAGTCTCAACGTTAGCTTCAACGAGTTCTGCCTTTCTTCCTCCACTGGAGCAGGATGGCCCTACTGGAAATCCGACCCTCACTAGGTGGCAATCAAAGCCGCCACCAACCTCTCCTCTGATAGGTCCTTGCACCTCAACCAACTCAAGCTCGTCCGCCACATCGACAACGGAAATCTAGGACTCATCTTTGTCTACCATCTTGAAGATTACGACAGAGCCAACTTTGCTCTCAAGGTCGTGGACAAAGACGTTCTCACAGCTAAGAAGCTTTCCCACGTAGAGATGGAAGCCAAAGTCTTTTCCATGGTTGACCACCCTTTCTTGCCAATGCTCTACGCCCATCTAGAGGAGTCACACTACTCTTGTCTACTCATCAACTATTGCCCCGGTGGTGACCTCCAGTCGATCCTCTGCAAGCAGTCAAGACATCACTTCCAGGTTGACTCGGTTCATTTTTCCGCAATGGAGGTGTTGGTGGCTTTGGAATATCTACAGGCGCTTAGGGTGGTGTACTAGGACCTCAAACTAGAAAACATATTGATAAGGGATGATGGTCATATAATGTTGTCGGACTTTGACTTGTGTTTCAGGGCCGATGTGCTCCCTACCCTCGACAAACGCCACTTTCATTTGGCGGGGGTGGAGTCAACCAAAAAACAATCTACTTGTTTTGGAATGGTTTATCGACGATGTAAAATGACGGAGGTGGCAGAATTTGTAGTGGAGCCGATGACAGCGTTCTTGAAATTACGATCAAACAAGTATTGCATCTTCCCATCTATCGTGGAATTACGCCCCAAAGATCCAATCATTGTTAATGGAAGAAAAATACTTAACAGTGAATGGAAGTGTAAATGAGAGAGAGAGAGCATCCGCTTAGAAGCGGTTGTGTGTTTTGGGTTGACAATCTGATCGATTTCCAGGATTACATACATCATGGATGGCAGCCAAGATCTATACGTAAGGGTGGCAGCTCTAGACGCTTCAGCACGGTGGAGAAGAAAGTGGGTAAAATTGTCTACAAAATTATCATAAGGGCAATTTAGAGATTATAAAATATGGTAGCAGTGAAAATGGATTTTTTTTTAATATATCTCACGGAACGCTGACAGAGGGGGTTTTATCTATCGGCCAAAGTATAGGGGTATTTGTCACATACCCCATAGTACGGGAGGGGTTCACGTAATTTATCTTTTTTGGGTAAATTACAAAGACTCCCCTGTACCATGGGGTTTATGACAAATACTCCCCTGTATTTTGTTTTGCAACAGACCCCCTTGTACTATGATCCCCTTCCGTTAATTTTCCATTGAAATCCGTGTTGCAATATTTTTTAATCCCCATACTATCTAAAACACTGTTTATCTTCTCCGATATCCCATTTATTTCTGTTTTTCATGCCTCTCTCTCTCTACACCGACAAGATAACCATCACCGTACTAGTCACACCCAACAACCTACCCTTTCTACATCCTCTTCCCTCCAAACACCCTTCAATCCAAACCCTCGTCTTCCCTTTTCCCCATCACCCATCTCTTCGGTCCAAACCATGACAATACTCCCATCATACGCGCCCTTTTTGCACTTTTCAATCCCATCACCCAGTGGTTCAACACTCACCCTTCCCCACCTGTAGCCATCCTCTCTGATTTCTTCCTCGGTTGGACCCAATACCTCGCTCATTGCCTGGGTGTACCCCGGATTGCCTTCTATTCCTCCGACGCATTTTTAACCTCCAATCTCGACGTTCTCTGTCCGAAACTCGAAATTCTACATCCCTTCCCATCTCCCATCTCCTTCCCCAGCCTCCCACATTCCCCTTCCTTTCCTTACAACCGCTTTCCCTCTATAATCCGTCTCTATAGGGAATCAGATCCCGATTGGTAGATCGTCAAGGGTGGCATGATCGCAAATTCCCCGAGCTGGGAGAGGTTTGATTATAAGGGTATGGGCCCCACAAGTCCCAATCTTGAACCATGGAGCCGTGGGCAGGTTCCTGACTCACTACGGATGGAACTCGATGATGGAAGGGATTACGGTAGGAGTGCTATTGCTAACCTGACCGAAAGAAGCTGACCAGTTCATAAATGCTGAGTTTCTAACAATTGAGAGGTTTAAGTTGCAAATCCTTTTCTTGTCTTCCTTTTTCTCATGACAGGATTGCAAAACCAGCAGCTTAGCTCAGCGATGGAGAGAGAAGACCAAGGGGAGTCTGAAGACTAGATAGTTTGGACAGAACAGGCAGAATAGAGCAAAGCGGAAAGAAGAAAAGGGAAGGGAAAGAAGAGAGATCGGGGATGGGAGGAGAGAGGAGGAGATAGAGAGAAATGTGAAAGAATAGAAGGGATTACCGCCATTGCTGTTTTTAATATGGAGATTAAAAAATATTACAACGGCGGATGTCAACGGAAAGCTAACGAATACCAGATTCAGGTTGTCTCATGGGCCATATTACAAAGATTCTTTGTCGCAAAACAAAATACAGGGGTCTTTGTCACATACCCCATAGTACGGGGGGTTTCTTTTTGAAAAAAGGCTCAATAAATTTCCGAGGGAAAGAACAAAGGAGCGTAACTTGCACTCGCCCCATAAACGAACGTAGCGCGCAAAAACCGCACGCCCGCCATCAATATAAAACCAAGGACAAATCAAAGCTGTCTTCATTTCATTACGTCCAATCTTACGACAGAAGAAGATGCCGGAAAATCAACCAGACGACGACGACGAGGGTTTCGGAGACTTCAAGTTTGTCTCCTCGTATAATCAACCTATCAGTTTGGACCAAAGCAAAACAGCACATGAAGACGAATGGGGAGACTTTGTGGCCACTTTCTCTCAGAAGCAGAATTCCTTGGGAAACTCTCCTGGGTTTCAACCATATAATTATAATGGCTTCAATGGCTTTGCTCACAGTCAATACCCTGCTGTTCACCCTGAGGGCGGGAGAAGTTTTTATCCTACCGGTTTTTTCTCGGATTATTCGACGAAGGTCCCTGAATCGGAGTCAAACCATGTTGAAAACGACAAGTCCCTGAATCGGTGCCAAACCATGCCGAACAGGTTTGTGGACACTTCTTCTCAGAAGCAGAATTCCTTAGGAGGGTTTCAGCCATGTAATTATACTGGCTTCAATGGCTTCGTTCACAGCCAATACCCCGATATTCACCCTGAGGGCGGGAGAAGTTTTTATCCTACCGATTTTTTCTCGGATTATTCGACAGAAGTCCCTCAATCGGAGCCAAACCATGTTGGAAACGACAAGTCCCTGAACCGGAGCCAAACCATGTCGAACAGTTTTATGTATACTTTCTCTCAGACGCAGAATTCCTTGGGAAACTCTCTTGGGTTTCAGCCATATAATTATAATGGCTTCAATGGCTTCGTTCACGGTCAATACCCCGCTATTTATCCTGAGAGCGGGAAAAGTTTTGATCCTATCGGTTTTTTCTCGGATTATTCGACAAAAGTCCCTGAACCGGAGCCAAACCATGTTGAAAACGGGAAGCATTCGGCTCCTCCGGTTGCAGAGAAACGGTGGGAGAAGCCTCGGGGACCTTTGCCTCTTTCACTTTTTGGAGATGAAGATGAAGAGTCTGATTCGGTTGATCCTCCCTTAAATGATACTATGGACATGTTTTCTCCTAAACCGGCGACCCCTGTGAAGAATGAACAGAATGTAGGATCAAATGGTGCTTTTACTGACCTTATTGAGAACTTGTATAGTCAGGCTGAACAGAGCAAGACTGAACATGGCTCGAGTTCCAATTTGGTTGATGAAAAAGGAGACTTTGACAACGAGGAATGGGAATTCCAGGAAGCCTCACCTGTAAAAAAGGTTGGAGATAGAAGTTCCGCAGAGAAGGTGATTCTTTTTTGGTTTCATTTTGGGATTTTTTGGATGTGTAAGTTACTTATTCAGCTGTTTCCTTAGTTGTCTTACAGTAAAAGTTGCTTGTTTTTTCTCTTTTCTTCTGTGGTACTAGATAGAAGGGGCGTCTGATATGGTGGAGGTTCAATTGGAAACGGCAAAGATCAATTCTCAAATTCAGGTGTTTTTTTCTTTTCAGTTTTTAGTTATGAACGATTCCCTTCTTTGGGAGAAGTGATTACATGTCTTACGATTGCATAAAAAATTGAGGGCATTACCTGGAAAATACAAGGTAGAAGGTCTATTTGTAATCTCTTTCACATTTTCAGGGTGCCCTACATGCAGTTTGCTCACTAATCATTGTCACGTCAAATGTACTAATTCTGCTTCTAGGATGCTTTCTGTAAGCTCTTTATTGGTAACCAAGGCTGATTCTTGTTTTTTTGGTCTTCCTTTTCCATTCAAATCTCAAGGCTGACGGAACAAGATTGCAAAATTTGGAGGGAGCTATACATATGTCTGATTTTAGCAGTGGAAGACAAGAAGTAGGTGATTTTTCTGTCTCCGTAGATGGGGTTTCCCACAAGCCAGCTGATTTTGACAATGGACTTCTGCTTGGGGATAGTACTTTTACTAAGAATGGTTCTATTTCGGGATCATACACTCAATCTGATCAGATTTCAACTGAAAATGAATCGAATTCCCATTTTGTCAATGGGAATGCTGATTTTGATGATAATTTCGGGGATTTCAAAGATGCGTTTTCAGAAATGGGAGCCATAAATTGCTCTTCTGAGCATAAGGTAGTGAATCTTTGATCTCTTAATTTGTTATCATTAACCAAAACTAAACTTTGAAAAGCATGCTTGTTTATATTTTTCTTTTGGGTTTTTAGGAGAAACAAGGGAGTGCTGGTTCTGGCGCTGAAATAGAACTCATACTTGACAGTGAAATCCAGGTGGATAAATTTAATTTTATTTCCTTTGCTTTCTGAATTTTGGAATTTAATAGCTGATATTTTAGATTTTTAATTGCACTACATGCAAAACACAAAACAGTTAAAATTCCAAGCAATTTTACCAAGTTATAACCTAGGTTTTCATGGTACAATAACAAATTGTCAAAGTTCTTACGTACCAAATTCTTTTCCCCCATGCTGTTTGTTGTGGGTCTAGATTTTGTCATCAGGGGTGATTGTAAGGGTTTTGCTTTTGGTTGAGCAGTTGGCAGGTTTGTTAATGGTGTTGTTATTTCTTTTTCCTTTTTGGGTGATTTCTTATCACCTTGTCTTCTACTTTCTTTTAATTTAATGAATTTATTTTTACTATCAGAAAAAAGAATACAAACACATAAGTTGCATAAGAAACCATTTAAAATAGGAGAAAGAATAAGCTGAGAGATGATACAAAGTGCTGTATATTTTACAAAACTTTACTTTTTTATTTGTTCATCATATAGAGACATAAAGGAACAGAGTTGATTCTCTTATAGCATCTATTGCAGATGAATGGGATAGGGCTTCATGCCTATCAACTTCAGCATCTTATTTTGAAAAACCTATTCCTAACATGGAGTAGTGCTTTTTAGCATGTGACTAACATGTTATGTATATCTTTCTGCAAGATACTGATATAGGACAATGGGATTTCCTTTATGGACCCCAAGGATTAGAGTTTGGGATATACTACAAAATGAGGATTTTTTTTTGGGTAAGCAAATGATCTATTACATAAGGAAAAACAAGGCAACAACAAACAAACATCCCAACAGAAACTAAAAGTAAAAACAGAACCCAGAAAAACAAATAGAAACAGAAAAGGAAAGAGATTAACAACTACAACTATGAGGCTGAAAGCTCCTCCTATTCAGATCACCAACCAAATCTGAAGATAGCAGATCCAAAACCCGTTCTGGGGGATGAAGCCACGTAGTGACTGGACTGCAATTTAAAGCTATCTTGACATCAGGCAAAGATATCAAAGATAATAGGCCAAGATTCTGGAACTGTGTCAAAAGATTTACTAGATTTACCACTCATAGGGGATTTGGAGTCCCTTTCAATTATCAACTTTGAGATATCCAATTCTTTTGCCATGAAACAACATTCCCTAATTGCAAAGAGCTTAATGTATTTAACAGAACCGGCAAAACAGGGTCCATTTTTCCCCAATAAAAAACATCATTCATCATTTACAAACACAAAACCAAAACCACCCATACCCTTTTGTACAAAGCTGCTGTCCACATTAACTTTTACCTATCCAGATTCAGGTTGAGACCACAAAACAGGATCCTTCAAAGGAGGATAAATTTGCCATGAATCTTTGCATTCTAGACTCACTGAAAGAAAAGGAGGCCCAATGGTCACAAGCATTTACAAAGCATAAGAAGATCAAAACCAAAGGAAACCTTATAAGAACAAGAATAAACATGATGGAAGGCCAATACTACGAAATTGATACTGAACTCTCATTCTTAGCAAGGTCATCTTCAATGGAATTTTCTGACCCAGGTATCCCTTGGAATGTGATCTTCAATTGTGTTTCTAGGACATGAAGATTTTGATACAATGTAAGAGTTTGTACAGACTCTCTTTGGGTCTGTATCGGAAACCCTGCTAAATGGAAGATTTACATTCTGCTACCAGACACTCAGACACAAGAGAGGGAAAGTTAAGATTTGAGATTTGGAATTTAATTACAAGGGTTAGCTAGAAGGTTGGATATGTGAGGGGCTGAGGGCTGCTTGATGGAAATGTTGATGGGAGGACGAAGATCTTCAATCCTGTTTATAGGCTGTTGTAGTCTTGATATTTGGCCACTAACAAGAAGTAAAAGATATTCAGAAAGAAATATGGAAGACCAATACCGTTTCTTCAAGAGAATTTTTACTAGAACTTCCTCACATGCTTTCTAGGCCATATCCAACATGCTTCTGACTCACCTCTAAACCTAAGTGGTATCCAAGATGTTTGAAATAGGAAAAGATTTCACTAGGCATCATGATGGTAAAGCAATGTTCTCTCTCTCTCTATCTGTACTTTATAACCCCTCTATGACAGGCATTGGGTATGGCATAATCTAAATCTATTGGAGGTTATTGCTCTTATCTTTTTTGTAGTCCAATTATTTTTTCCTGAACTTTTTACTCCTTTATTTTCTACATTTTTATGCTATATCCTAAACCTTGTTATAGAACATGCTTTTGTATGTCTGTAATTGTTTTTTTAACTAAAAAATAAACAAGTTACCTTACATGGAAATAGAAGGGCTGAGAAATCTCAAGGAATCTTGCCCCCTGGTCACTTTAAGCAATGACAAATTGGATTCTGATGATTCCTTTTATGGTCAGGATCTGTCTTCATCAAAACCGACCGTCTATGTAAGAAACAGCACAAAGAATGATGGTTCCAGTCCAAATGTTTCTTTCAATGATTTCATAATGTCTTTATACCGTCAGGCTGAGCATGCTCCAACTGTTGATGCTACTCAGAAAACGATGGTAAATGGATCTGATTCAGCCCAGACAGGCATGGATTCACAGTTAATGAGTGGGAAAGTCACCGACATGTCTTCACAATTGGTGAATGGAGAAGATAATTCTGATGAAAGTTCCTGGGAATTTAAGGATGCCTATACAGAAACCAGAGCTGAAGATCAAAGTTGTGTATCCTGTCTCATAGATACAAATACAAAATTTACTAAAGAATCAAAACTGAAGAATTTTGTGGATATTTACACTAGATTGAAGGAGCAATCACACTATATTGCACTTCACCATCTTGATGGTCTGAAGGTTGGTGAAGACTCATCTTTAAGATCTTTTTTTCCGATTGGTGACAGTACTAATTTGTAAAACATGGGAACTGTCAGAATGCTCAGAAGGTTGCTGCTCTTTCTGGTGAAGATGCAAAAGCAGTAGCACTCCATGAGGAAATCCAGGTATGTAGCTGTTCTTAGTCATTTAGAATCATTTATCATCTCTATCTTTTTTTTTTTTCTTTGTTCTTTATGTTGAGGGTACAACATCATGTAGTTCAGGAGACTACAAAAACTTGCTTGAAGCAGGAGTTAGGGCCAAGTAATGATCTGCAACTGAGTTTCAAGTCAAGTCCCATTTTTGGACTCCAAGAAGGCTATGTCTAAACATACCATAAATCTGATTAAGAATTACTTCCATTCTGCTATCAGCTTAAGTTCCATTTTCAATGAAATGATCAATATGTTGTGTTTATAGGACAAGAAACTATTTTTTTTCTCACTCACTACACCCTTGCTTTTCTTATCCAATAATGGTTCTTGTTTAATCTAAAAGCTTTTGAGAGACAAGTTAGTAACTTTTTTCAAACCTGAAACTCAGATGGGATTTGAGATCACTTCTCTTGTATTGTAACATTTTTTTTGAAAGAGGTAAGGTATGATTGTATTGAAGAAAGAAAGAAAGAAAGAATGTACAAGGTGAAAGCTCCCCATCAAGCAGGAGCCACATGAAAAAGTTCAAAAGCCACAAAGCAAAGTAAGCCTGATCTACCCAACTACTGTGACATACTGGGCTGGCACAGCCTAATTTTTCGTGCCGCCCCCACTGTAGCGGGCTGTGCCGGCATGGTCCATGAAGGCTGGGGGAGGGGGGGTTCCCAGCACAAGCCCGTGGCATGTGGGCCTGCTGGGCTGGCCTGTAATATTTCATTTTCATTTTTTCTGTTTTTATTAAGAAAAAAAAATCATAAAATTATAAAAAAATAATGAAAGATTGAAGGAAAAATGACAAATTGCATGATTACAAGAACAAATTGTAAAAAAAAACCATCTTAAAATTTTATTCTATACGAATAATCAATTCAAGTTACAAATAAAATTGAAAATCTTAAAATTTTATAATAATTTCAAAATTGACAATAATCTCAAAAATTTTCTTTAATTTCAAGTTCCACTTTCATCTTCTTCTTCTGGTGATACCATCGGCCTAGCCTGGCCTTGGGGGTTGTGCCATGCCGGGCATGGCCTGCCACTGTAGCTGGCAGGCTGTGCTGGCCCATGGGCGGCCCGGTCTGTTTTACACCTCTATGCTTGACCCAACCCTCCCAAATCATGGTTAAACAACTCAACGGAAATACAGCTTAGAAACCAACAAAACCAAAAACAAAAACCCAATCCTACAGAGCCAAAGAAAGGCCTGGACTGGAATCTACCCCTATCCAGGCCCAATGTGCAGACCTTAAATTAGCAGGATTAAGATGTGAATGTGACCTTTCTTCCCTGGCCACCTCCACCCCAACCTCACGTATTGTGCATTCTCTTACTACAGGGTTTAACCACTGTGTCATTGGAGAGATCAGTCAGCTGCTTTGCTTTTCTGCACCCAGTGAGGCTGTCAAAACTATCTATCGACCAATCTGAGTCAACACCACTCTCAGCTGACAGACTCTCCAGCTTACATGAAATGTTCTTCTTTACAGCAGAACCGGCATCATTGTGGACCAACAAACTGGTTTTCAAAAACTCATGTGCATTAGATTCCCCGTAAACGAAGGAGGCACTCATCAACTTCCCAAAGTTCATTAACTTGCCTACCTGCTCCTCTGAGATGGGCTCAGTAGTTGTGCTGGAAGGTGCAATCTCTAACTAAACATGGGTCTCATGGGTTGAGATTCCTTGTGATTCCTGAGGGGTGCTTGTTCTTACAGCCTCTGATCCTTCAGAGCTGCCCAGTGTCTCTTTCAGATGAACTCTTGCAAAAAAATCTTAAAACCATTCTTCTTGTGGGAACCTTTGGGCCTATCCAAAACTCTTAGATAATGTGAAAAAGGATTTTGGACTAACATTTGGGCCCAAATCATGTTTAAGGTGCTCCCTAATAGCAGCAACCAGAACCATCTGGTTAACTTGGGAGTATCATGCATATACCCAAGGTTCAAAGTATTGATGCTGTTATGGGCCCGTGAATAGGATCTCGTCACGGGTCGGTCCACGGGGAAAACCTCCTGTTTTCCCTTGTTCCTCCCTTTTCTTGAGGAACCTATCTTGGTGCCTTAATGGTGATTTGTTCAAGAGATCACCAACTCTCCTTTGCTCTTTCTTGACAGAAATTTTCGATGCCTTTATTGAATATTATCAGCTCCTTAAATAGGAGATTACAAGAGAT